GCTGGTGTCTTGTTACAAGGGAGCCAATTTCATATGTATCATTTCAGATTTTTAATTTGCTCGCAAATCATATGGCGATTATAAAATGTTTCAATGAGGTTCAGCCTAATTACAAGACGACTCAATTATCTTTCAGAATTACACTAGTAAACACCTATTGATGTTTGTATTAACTTATAAATTGTATGCTGTGAAATTCTATATATATATATATATATGTGTGTGTGTGTGTGTTTACTCGGTTGCAAAACTGGAAAAACAGGTCAAGCCTGCATCTGGGATCATCGAGGCCGATCAAATTACCGAAATATCGATACGCCACGAAGAATACGAAACATTTGAAGAATTTGTCGATGGGGTCCCACGAAACTTTTGGTGCGAAGATGCTAGGGACAAAGAAGTAATTTTGGCAGTTAAAGTGCGTGGGACTTGCACGACTGAGCCCAAATGTCACCGTGTACGCGTGCGCTATAGCATTACAGGCAAGCTCACGCCTAGGAATAACTCCAAAGCTAACAACTCTAGTGGGGCCCACGCGAATCTCCTTCACCGGGCCGACTACCATAGGATGAGCGGATCGTATGATGTGGTCGATCACTTGCGAAATCTGCATACTCCTTAAAAGTATCATTAAAATGCGGAAAAAAAGATTGTCTTTTTTCATATTGTCGACACCCATCTTGTAAACATCTATGGACATTCGAGCGAACAATGAACTTTTTGCGGAGCTAAATTGATAAGAGTAAAAGATGCCATGGAAAGAGAAGTGTTTTCAGGTATTCTCTGTCCTTGGGGTTTTTTTCTCATTCTTACTTTTATTCGATAACATAGCAAATGTTTGTGTAGCTTTTATTCTCTCTATAGTACTGTAATGGTAACTGTATATATGATTTGAGTGATGTGAGTGAATGTAGAAAGGGGAATGTTACCAGATGAACGTATCGTCTCTACACTGTCGAAGATTTTACTTGAGGTTTTTGTAAATCATTAGACACTGATCTATTATTTTGGTTGTGTATGTGTGTTTTTTCTGAGACTGATTAGGTTATTGCAAGACAATTCCATTATCCTGTCCTTNTGGAACAAGTAGGCAAGGTACAAAGTACTGTGGTACAAACACAAATACCTGCAACCTGGAATTACTGGGGTAACCAATAGGAAAAAAAATCAATCAGAAGAACAAAAAAGCTCTAACAAGTAAAAGAAGCACAAGTTGATCAAAATAGTAAGTTGCTCTTCATTTGCTATCTAATGCATCCAAAACATGATGGGAGGATCAAATTCAAGCTAACCACCTAATCATATAACTTGACTGTATGTTAGATAGCCAGGAAGAGCTAGGATAGTGAAAAGTAATGCGGGCATTTGTCAAGGTGGATCTTAATAAAAAGCTTGGACTTGATTATGCTTTGAATTACAAAGAATGACCGTTAAATGTTGATGCAGCTCACAAGTCACAAAAGGTTGGACAAAGCCTCCCATAATGAAAAAACAACCAAAAAGAGAAAAGAAAAAGAAACACCCTTTTAATCCTTTGTGGATTGGTACTTGGTTTAAATTCCTTAGATTTCCTTGAGGTCCACTTTGAATTAAGAGTTGCAGATCGACTCTTCTGCATTTTCTAGCTTGTTTGCTTTCTGGCAAGAATGTGGGCGTGCATGTTATGTATTTGCACGTGAGCGAAAACCGTGTTTTTCTATCTGGCTTTTGGATAAAACATGTTTCATTTTTAGAGTTCGCAACATTAGATCAGTGAACAATCTGATCGTATCATGTCTAATCCATCAGCACAACAAAACAACAACAGCAACATTTCAGAATACTCATTCTGTTCAGTCTCTCTTTTATAATACAACATCACCATTTGTTAAGACAATAGAGATGAAAGAAGAAGAGATAAACTTTGATAATACGGGTTCTCGATCAGGCAATGATATTACAAAGGAAGAGGATATCCCCTTAGGTATCTGGAATCTACACCGGATTCCCTTACCAGCGCCACCCTTCCCGTCCTTGCCACCTTCATAAAAGATAAAAGCATAAATAAATAAATAAATAAAGGTCAAATGTCACAAGCATGAGAAGTAATTTTGAGGTTCTGTAGAGTGTAGAGGGTAGTCATTCTCGTCTGATGTACTTGACGTAGCAATTTTCCGCACACATAGTTTTTTGCCAATCCAAATATTTTTATCTATTAGACACACTTGCTCAACTCAAATTTTTTTTCAACAGTGAAAGGAAAGTCGAGAAAACAGAGCAAGCATTTTATTAAAATCAAGAGAAAACAGACTTACCTCACAAATACCGTAAGGCTCTAGCAAGTTTTGAAGCGCCAGCATTTTATTAAAATCTCCAGTCACCTGTAACAAAGTTGAAGGTTTTCGGTAATTAGGCTAAAATCCCCAAGGATACTCTCTTTTGTAAATTTTCCAGGTCAGAAGATATAATAAAGAAGAAAAAAACTTGATGATTTGGAAGTAGGCAAAATTCCAACAATAAAGTTAACCTCCAAAGTTACTGTATGGTCAGAGACATCTACAGGTTTGGCACGGAAAATACTGGCAATATCAAGGACATCCCTTCTTGCATTAGCATTAGCAGCAATCTTAATCAGCATGAGTTCACGCTCAGCAAATGGGGAATGCGTAATATCTTTCACCTGAGGAATTCACCAGCATGGCTTCTGTGTTAAGTCATCTCGTTTCTCAGTGGAGAAAGGGATAAATAAAACTCACTTCAGAAATATACTTTTGGTGCATAATACCCAACTGAAACACTAAGGATGATTTCAGGCCACATACATGTGAAAGATAATTTCAAATGGATGACTAGAAGTCTAAATTATTGGAGAAGCAATAATCAACAAGGCATCCAAAAAATTCCAGAAGGGAAATAAATATGTTAAAATACGTTGTCATAGAAATATTATTCAAGAGAAACAAGAAATTGTTGTTAGAATACCAGTTGATGTGAGTAGGGACTTTAGAAATCCTAGTGCGTTTAATTCAGACTTTTAAATGTCTTGGGGTATTCATTTGGGATTTTAAAAAGTCCTACAAAATCCTGAGGTATTTAACTTATTTGAGATTTGGATTGTTAAGACTTTATGAGATTTGCTGGGATTTCTGAAGAAAAAACCTTATACGAAATCCCACTTCAAATCCCACCTCCAGACTTAAGATTTCATAGGATTCCTCCAAAACCTGAAAATCTTAAAGTCTCAAAATGTCATTCGAAACACCCCCTAAAAATTACATTTAACTTTAGGCTAACTACAAAAACCTCTTGCTATTATCTGTTAACATTGCAAATACCCCCTAAAGGTGTAGCGAATTAGGAATTTGTGTCACCTCATGAACATCCACCAACTTATAGAATTGCTGAACCAACTTGTCAATACTTTCATCCGTGCCAGGAACAACAGTTGTTATGCGTGAAAGCCCTTCCCTTTCGGCGTGACCTACAGCGAGACTCTGAATATGGAGTTCAGAGAAATGGTTTTAGCAGCAATCAGAAAACCATCAAGAAAATGAAGCAAACATCATGAATATCAAAAGGCTACAGCAAGGACTGAGGCTAGGCAATAAAAAATTCATTTAAGTTGACCTGAACATTATACCCTCGTCGAGATATAACTCCAGTGACCAAGTTCAAAACTCCAGGAACATTGTTGACAACCATGGACAAAGTGTGTGATTGAAGCCCACTTGACTGCAGCAGTAAGATAAGAATAATGATAGAAATCCTTGAGCTTCAGAAACATAAGAAATTAAGAATCATCTTATAGGATATCATTCCTACTCAATTAGAGTTTGAATCTTCAAATAGGCAAAATTATAATTCTGCACAAACTCTTGGGAGCTGACAGGTTTCGTCCTTTGACTTTTTCATGTTGTGAATTTGGTCCTTGGTGACTTCTACCTCAAGTTAAAATACCATTTAGGATTACGATTGTGCCAACTTCGATTGTCCAGACCAAAATGCCAGAGATTTGAAACTTATGAAACCAAAAACACAATAGTATAAAATGTCATCATCTTGGATAGAAACAGAGCTTGCCTTAGAAAAAGGGCATTTGTAATTTTTCTAAAATATATCTGGGTAAAATCTAACTAGACCACACCATAAGGGGATTTTCAAATATAAACTCAAAACTTATATATCACTGTAAGGGCAATCTTCAAGTCGTACAATAGGTATAGGCTATAACAATTTATTTGGACGAACATACAGGCTAAAAGCCTATGCCTCTCTACAACACGAACTCTAAATGAATAATGAACCATGAATGGACCTCAAACAATTAATCCCATTAATTGTCAGTGGAAATATCTTACATCTTCATCATAGAGAACCCCCCAGTGGGCATCAAGAACTTGATGATAGAAGCCATCATCAGGTTCCACAGGATACACATCACCCTTCAATTCAAAACACAATCCACGTTAGAAATAGTTCCAGCGAAAGTCAACCATGAAGAAATTAGAAAGTGAACATGAAGAATTTGATTATCTAAATACTCATAACTGAAGTTTCCAGTCTCAGAATATAAACAATACAATTTGAAGATACAAATAATGCACGTGAGTGGAATTCAGGACCAGAAGTTAAAAATTAAGCAGATGTAATGATAATTTAAAGACCACAAATAAGAGAAGAAGCAAAAGAAAATAATTACTATAAGACAGTAGCTCATGTACCCCTGACTCTGAGGTAGCACTGTATTTGCCATTTGGGCCCTTTTCAATTACTTTCTTCATGGCATCATTTGAAGTACTCTCGATGGGTAGAGTTCCTTCAAGATCAGGATAAGAAGCTGCAGAAAACCTCCAAAATGGTGCTGTCTCGCCCATCTTTTCTCTTCTCAAAGCAATCTTGAGATTTATTAATAGCAGAAATTGTAAAAAGATATGTATGAAACAGATGAATAGGAAAAGGAAAAACACTAGTAAGACTTAAACTATTAAATTGGGATCAAAGCAGATAAGGATCCAGATACAAAATGAACAGCACAAGCTGTTAAGGAACAATTTGCAAGTAACAGCACATAGCGGATTAATCATTCTCTCCCACATTCAACTTATGATTACAGATTCAGCCGCCATTAAAAACAAAACCTTGTATTGGAGTTCAAAAATCAAGCAAATGTCATTCTCGTACATTCAATGACTTAAGTCAAGCTCAAATAAACTGTGGTCAAAATAATCATCCTACTCATAAATGGTCATCAGCTAAGGCACCATAAGCAAGAAAAGAACAGTATTACCGTCCCAGTTCTTGCTAGTTTTTTAATACCAAACTTTTTGAGATTCCTCAACACAGCTTCCATCTTGCCAGGGTCTCCAGTGACCTATATCAACCGTGAGGCAGAAACTGTAAATAACAGAATATGCACGACCATGAAAATGATTGAAGACAGGACAAATAATTAACTACAAACTTAATGAACTAACAACAATAAAGATAGGGTAGATTCTGTACAAACATATAGGGTGACATACACTTGGACTGTTGGACATAATGCATGCATGGCAGATATCATAATTGTGCCCATCCCATCATCTATAAAATCTATAACTTCTATAATAACGGATCACTCATGTCAAACTCTATGTAAAGCTTTTCTATGTGAAAAGCAGCATTTTCCTTAATGATAACTAGCTCTTTCAGTAATTTAAGCATGTCATCTGAGTAAAAACAGAATTTACTAAAAATCAAACCAGATGTGCGCTTAGGTGGTGAATGATGAAACCTGTTCACATCAGTCAAAAAATCATCAAATAACATGCTACAGAAATATGCATAATGCACATCAAACATTGATCAACTTAAAAGAAATTAGCAATGGGCCTTAAAATAGAGTCCAACCTCAATGGTCCAAGTGTGATCTGATATGTCCACGATATTTGCCCTGAAGATGTCTACTAACCACTTGATCTGAAATTTAACCAAGGAACCATCATAGTTGGGCTCAGTCAAGCTATTAGACAGGTGAAATATAATAAATGTAAAGGGTTAAGGGTTCATTATAAAATGTGAGGATCTCTTCAAGAAGAGAAAATATATATATATATATATATATATATATATATATAAATTTATAATAAACTTATGGTGTACAAACCTTAAAGCACTAGGAAAATAGAGAACAACTCAATAAAGAACCATTAACTTCCGGAAAAAAATAGCAAAAACAAAGACTTTGTTACTGCTCAAATGCAGACTTTATTAAATTCCTTTAGTCGAGGTCAAAGTGGGTCTGACAGAGTACAAAATATGCTCACAATACGTCTTTGGAGAATCTATTGACAGCTCACTGTTGTTCAGAAATGACGGATTCAAAAACCTGTGTCCTAAGACAAGACATTGATGGGACACATACTAAAGACGAGCAAATTTGAATAGAAGTTTTAGTTTGCCAAGCGCCTGTCTGATACACATGTTCAAGACCAAGCAACATAGAATTCTTCACCTGGCATATTCTCTAAAGGCTCAAGTCCAAAACAAATTAACCAGACACTTTCAGAAAAGAAAACTGGAAAGATTAACTTTTCCGTACTTCACTTTTAGTGTTGGAATCTGCATTGAGCTTTACTAGCATAAGTTCACGTTCTACTTGTGGTTCTTTCGACAAATCTTCTACCTGACAAACCGAATAGGCACAATTTCTTCAGAGAAAGTATAACAAGTATGAGAACAAAAGAGATGCTTAGGATTGAATACATCACATACAACTCAAAACTTTAATAATTAAGCATCTGTGTAATTGCAATCATACTCCTTTGGCAACTACTCTTTCATACAGGTAATAGAATCTTTGATTTACTAATCATCAATATTATAGTAAAATAATTGGATAGCATAACATAGAATGCCTGACAAACACCAAAAGAAAGCTACTCAGAGCAATTAAATATATAATATATTAAAATTTTAAATCCACGCATAATAACATACTTTCAATACATTCACGAGCTTGTTGAGTTGTTCAACAACTTGTTTCAGCACTTTATCAGTTCCAGAAACAACTATAGTGAACAGAGCCTTGTCCTTGTTAAGCCCAACTGCAAGTGACTCGATGTTATAGCCTCGACGAGCAAAAACACCAGTGATTCGGTTTATTATACCACTTTCATCCCCAACAAACACCGAGATGGTATGAAGTTTTGCCCTGAAATAATTTTTTCAAATCATCGTATGAATAGAATTGAAATTGCATTTGGATTATAGATGATTTGGTTTGGTGAAGAGGACTCGAGAGGATAATTTCAAATGACATCATAAACCATCAACTCGAGCTTCACCACAATTATGAAAAGCAGCTGGAAATAGGAGCTTAACAATTTGTTGCATCATGAGCTTATCCAAACAAAGTTGATGGAATTGGTAATCTCATTCAAAATCTGAATAAAAGTTCGTCAAACAAAATGCGACCCTGGAAAATACGTGGTGCAACATATCATATCCTAACTCACAAAGAAAACGTCACCTCAAACCCATTCAAAAACCAAAAACTATAATANCAATTTACTCCTAACCATCAATTAAACCCATTTGCGATAGCAAACAAACACACCTTAAAACTCCAACACCAAACATGGTAAAGAAAATCACATCAAAGCTCACCGTAACTCCATTAAACCAAATTCAACCAAACCTCACCCCAAATATGTATTATCAATTGCTGTACTCAAATAAATGAACTTATGCGGGCTAGAATCACAGAACATAAAATAATTTACCTTGTATTAGTAGCGAGAGGTTGCGGAGCTGAAGGAGATGGTCTCTGGATGACGGACACGGAAGCGCCATTTTCAGAGCTGCCGCCATTAGCCGCTGCATGAGCTAACAGTAATTGCTTGCGTGGCCTGAAATTTAAGCTCCCCAATTTCACTTCGCCGGCGAAGGAGGTGAAATGTGGAAGGTTTTTAAGCTTCTCCACGCCGGTGACGGAGGAATGTGATATCACCACCGCCGCAGCCATACCTCGTTCTCAGTATATTGCAGAGAATAGAGAAAAGCGGAAGGAATGAGGGATAATGCGACAAGAGATAATTATAGGGTCACCCTTGGTAGCATCGAAACCTACTGGTCTGGACCATAGGTGACAAATAGTGAAACAATCAAATCATAATACAATTATTTTTACTTTGCATCAATAGGTGACAAATAGTGAAACAATCAAATCATAATACAATTATTTTTACTTTGCATCAAAATAAGAGATAGATAATGAATAGTATAAATATTATCATAATATTCAAAATAATTTACCTTTAACATCTATTGAGGTGTCGGGTGTATGGAGGGGTGAGTTTAACGTTGACAATATTATAGTCCTAAGAGCATCCACAATGCTTTGGATCTATTTTTGTTTATGTGGCATATAATTGGACTTGAGTTTTAAATGACATGGACAAACCCAAGTAAAAAAACTCAAAAACTTTGCAATGCAAAAATAAAAAGACTAGGTCTATCATACATGCAAACCAATAGAAATGCTCTAATATGTTTTATTCATTAAAAAAAAATTAAATTAAGAACAAATGATGAGTGTTTAGGTTTGTACTTGGGTCCAAAATAGACCCAAGTGTGGACTTGATCTCTTTTTTTCATTGTCACATAAGCTAGACCATGTCTACTTTTAATTGCATTGGAAAGTATTTTTTTATAGACTAAGTCTATTTCCCATGTGGCATGTGATTTTTTTGTTAAAAAACCCAAAGCATTGTGGATGCTCTAAAACAATTAACTAACTAATTGTTAGCATTGAGCGGCCGGCGGCTGGAGATTGCAAAATATCGGCTTGGGACCCACATCTCGAGTGGTCGGTGGATCAACTATTGGTAATTATATATTGCTAAAGAACAATTTTGCTTACGCTTTGATTAATTATAAATTGTATAATTCAGCTACTTAGATTGATGTATGTAAAACACAAGTCTGGTTTTGAATAGGCTTGTAAACGAGCTAAGTCGAGTTTAGTTCGTTAAATAAATAAATATGAAATCAAGTTCGAGTTTGACTCCGATTTTGAGTTGATCTCGAGCTTTAACGAATCAAACAATAAAAAATTATATAGAAATTTGTTTTTTGAGCCTTGACGAGTCGAGCCGAGCCAAACTGTTAATCAAACGAGCTTTAAATAAGTATGAGCTTGACTCGATTATCAAATTAAGTCGAGCCGAACTCAAACTTTAACGAGCTGAGCTCGAGCCTAACCGAGCCAAGCTCGTTTAATGTAAGAGCACTACTTGTGAATATTATAGTTGATATCAATTTGCACACACTAATATATTACAGTTGCAAGTGTTATCTACATACGTACTAGGTCTGCACAATTAAGATCTACTGCAACAAGTGTTAACCTAATCTCAAATATTTAACACGAGATTAATGGTTTTAGTTGACCCAAATTTATTGTCCAAATCACACAGATAAGTTTGCAATATTTATTCAAATTATTGGAAAAAAAATAACATCAAAGAAATGTTTGCTTTTTTGCTTTACACTAGTTAATTATCCTTGCATTTGCAAGGATTGACTTAATATTAGGCTTGGGCACAATAAAGTCAAATCCAAACGAAGTCAATTTTCAAGAATACTAAAAGAGAATCTAGTCAAACAAAACATCCACGTGACCAAAATCAATTTAATCACCCAAAATCAAACCAATGCATGCAAATTTTTGGCAAGCAACACTTTTTCATGCATATACTTCAAATTGAACTCTTAAAACAAATCATCATCAAAAACAAAAAAGGAAAAGTTATATTATCTCCCTTCACTTGGGTTCAACTTTAGCTTGAAGTGTATACCCACCACTGTAATCAAAAGCATCACTATAAGGATGCTTCAGACAACCTTTGCCACTACCAATAAACTCGGTTCTGGACGATGAAGCCGAGGTCGAGTTCGTGTTCAAACCGTCATTCTGCAAAATATTCTCGAGAGACTTTACGGCCTCAGCCATCGTTGGCCGATCGGAGGCCAATTCCTCCACACACTGCACAGCCAGCTCGATAAACCTGTGGAATCCCACGAGGCAAGGCGCGCCTCTTATGGTGGGGTCCATGATTTCAGCAAGACCATAATGCATCTCATCGTTTTTGTCGATCAATGCTCTCACTTCTCGAACGACATATTTGCCCTTCTCGATCGGCTGCTTGGCTGTGATGAGCTCGAGCATAACCACCCCAAAGCTGTAAACATCGCTTTTCTCTGTTAGCTGTTGTGTCATGTAGTATTCTGGGTCGAGATAGCCCTGTGGACGAGTTGGAGTTCGAAGAATAATAATAATAAAAATTTTTGGAACATAAAATAANGTGGAGAAGGCAAAGATGAAAGCAAGATTATGAAACTAAAAACAAGCCTTTTGAAAACTAGCGTAATTCGGTTTTATAGTTTTATTCTTTTGGAAACTTACTAGTGTGCCTTTGACTTGAGTCGAGACGTGGCCTTTTGAAGAGTCGGATACTAGTTTGGACAAGCCAAAATCCGCAACTTTAGCCGTGAGATTATCGTCTAACAAAATGTTTGAAGACTTGACATCTCTATGAATGATTGGTGGATTTGCGAGCTCGTGTAGATAAGCCAATCCTCTGGCCGAACCAAGCGCGATTCTTAGCCTTCTTTTCCAATCGAGATGAACTCCACTTTTTCCTGCAAACATATATTTTCTTAACCAAAAGCTGAGAGTAACTTTCTTAATGAGTGTTATCAAAAAGTCTTTTTGAGTTTTACTTCTCTGATATATGATGAAAATTACCTGATAAGCTCTCTCTTAATGTTCCATTGGCCATAAACTCGTACACCAACATTTGCTCCCCTTGTTCGAAGCAGAATCCGACGAGGCCAAGAAGATTTTTGTGATGAACTCTTGAGAGCAACTCGATTTCGGTTTTAAACTCGAGCCCACCTTGTGTTGAACCTTGTTGAGCTCTTTTAATTGCTACTACTTGTCCAGTGGAGAGTACTCCTCTATATACCTGAAAAAAAACAAATCAAGGAAAATGAAGAAAGAAAAGAAAAAAAAAAAGAGAGAAACATTTATTCAAATCGCTATTTACTTATTTATTACTACCACCACTACTATTTTACTCTTATTATCATTTTGCAGCCAAAATAATGTAATAATGGAAAACCTTGCCATAGCCTCCCGAACCAATCTGATTGCTTTGTGAAAAGTTGCTAGTGCATTTCTTGAGCTCATCATAAGAAAACCATCTTGCTCCTTTTAGCTGTGGTGCACCTCCACTGTCCTTGCCGCTTGGAGTCCATGATGCTGTATGAACGAGATCAAGAAAAATAAGCAAAATGAAGTTTCTGCTAAATAACTACAAACTGGTTTTTACTTGTTAGTACAAAAAGTCAAACAAGAAGCAAAATCGGAAATCTGTGTCATCTTACCCCCTATTTTTATATTCTAATCAAATTTATCGAGTTTGTTGTAATTTAGAAAGTCCCAAAAAAATGTTTTTAATCCATAAAGCTAAATAATGACATTTTCTTTGTAAGCATTACGAAAAAGAACGTGAATTACCAAATGGTTTGCTTAATGCTATGGCTTGCTCAGCCCGCCTCTTTTGCCTAACAGCATAGGCCCCTAACACTGCCAGCACAAGAACCAAAAATGCACATCCGATTGATATTCCAGCAATCACGCGCCTGCTGATGTGGGCCCTCCCTTGTTCATCTGAAATATTCCATTATATATTCCTATTTAGCCAAAAAACTGACAGTGGCTATTCTGTGCAAACACTACATTAATATCAGCCAGCTTTTTTTTTCCAAGACAGCATACCCCCAAAAACGTAAGGAGACGCTATAAAATAATACGGCCCGAACTCGTGAGGTGGCTTGTATGTTTGGTTACTCAAAGAAAATCCAATCCTCTGAACCATTGACCTATTGAAATACTTCTCGCCGGATGGAAATAACCCGAGTTGCACCTGAAGATAGTCATCCTTATTAAAGAATGGATTTTGGAGGGAAACTGATCCGGGTGTAAGGCCCAGTTTGACCCAAAGGCTCATTTCTAAAGAATGGAATAAACTCGCATTCGAGATGTCACGAAAAGTGGGAGCTCTAAAGTACAGTGTGCCTTCATACGGATAAGCACAGTCACAGCTTTGTGGGTTTAGCTTTTGATCATTGGTGCAGATTTGGCTACCACAGTTTCCAAGGTTAGTCGAGTAAGGTTTGCCCGATTGCTGTATTTGACAGTAGACTGTGTTTTCTAGAGAAGCAGAGCACACCGGGTTCCCGATCAACCTTTGATATAAGGGAAAAAAAAAAAAGGAAAATGTGAGAGAGAAATGTACGTATATGCAAAGAAAGATCTTCTTCGATGATCTTAATATATGATTATATTTTGAGTCTTTATTGTCTTACAGTAACGTGCTTTTATATGCGGAGCCAATTGTTACTGATGAAATGTCGTTGTTCTCCAAGTCAACAAGTTGAAGCTGCTCGTTAATATTGCCGCTCATATCTAGTTTGTCGCCTAAAGCATTGTTCCTCAATTTCCTGTCGATAATTTAAATGAATCAATTATAAAGTAGGATTTTTATTTATATGCAAGGTTATTACACTGTCATCTAAAGCTATCTTCGGGTTTAAACATGTGGTGTACGTTAAGTGCATGATTTTCACTTTAGCACATCAATTATATACTTCAGATGGAAAAGTGAGCTTGGTTGAGTTAGTCGTGCAGAAATGCGGATAACTGAGACTGACAGAGTGGAATTTTTATTAAATAAAGTTGTGGCAATTTGTGTTGGTCTTTCTCTTTTTATGGTTGTTAGACTTACACTTCCTGTATCTGAGGTAAACTGAAAAGTTCTGATGGGACTGATCCTTCTAATGGTCCAGATTCAATCACCCTGAGAGCAGCAAAAAAATGCATATTCATGGCACAAGAGAAGTTTCTTTAACTCGAATTTTGAAAGAATATATGGATTCTTGATTTTAACCATATTTTTCACATTTTCATCAGTAAGTTACCCATACTCACAAAGTAGTTAATGACTGCAAAGTGGAAAACCAATCAGGAGCTATGGATTGTTTGAAAGAGTTGTTGCTCAAGTCCCTGCAAAAGAAAAAGGCAAGATGAAATGGGAATTTTTTTTTTCTAATAATAAAAAAAAAGTTAAATGCAAAGATTCCCTTTCAATTTATTCAATTTAATAAATGAAGTCACTTTAGTTGGAACTTACAACTCATGTTAGCATTTGTTTCTCTTTACAGATGCCCTTAACAGAACAGATATGTTAGGTAAACAAGAATATCATGAAAAAATCACGGTTCTTTTTGTAATTGAAGTAATTTCTGAGGAAGTTTTTTGTAATGATCTCTTAACAGCGAATAAACGATATAATAGAAATGATGAAATCTTAGTTCTCACACATAATTGAGGGAGTTCATTCCGGTTAAATTTGGTAATAAACCAGACAACATATTGTGAGCCAAATTCCTGCAAATGACAAACATAGTGGTTATAATCTAACAAACAAAAATTCTAAAAACCAGGGTAAAATTCTCAATGCACTGAAAAGAAAAATACCCACAATTCAACAATGTTTGTAAGGTTGTTGAGGTTTTCTGGGACGGTCCCTTTCAGGAAATTCCGATCAAGCCGACTGGATACATTATTAGGAGATGCCAAAGAGAATAATTAAATTAAGTACTGCCATGATTGTGATGTCAAAATGAGAGATGAAGTTACTTAATACAGTGAGTTTACTCACAGAACCTCGAGTGCCTGTACAAGTGTTATTGTGGATGGAATGCTACCTTCCAATCTGTTCCCATCGAACAATCTGCCACGAATTTCGCCAGTTACGAAATATTAATGAAGTAAAGAAAAATGACACATGAGTGTTAGCCTTTGTTATCCTTCAGAATTTACGCTTTAACACCCTCTTAGCAGTGTGTAATTTGTAAAACAGAAACAAATCTCGACATGATTCCATTAGGTTGAACTTACATATGTAGTAATGACATGTCTGAGTTAAAAAGTTGGCTTGGGATTTCACCTGAAAGCTGGTTTTTGTTGAAATGGCTGCAAAAAAACACCAACATATAACATCAGAAAATTTGGAAAAATCCGATAATTGCTTCAGTCTTGCAAAATGCACCCTCAGATCAGTTATTTAGAAAGTACCACAAGCTTCAAGGGATAGTTTATCATTTTAAAGGAATTTATAATCAGATTGAAACAGAAATTTTTAGCTTCACTTACAAGTGCTTGGCTTTTTTGAGCTGGTCCAAACCTGGGCCATAAGCCGATGAAACAGGAATTTGTCCTCTTAACTGATTGTCCGCTAGGTCGAGCCAATATAGCTTAGAGAGTTTACCGAGCGAAGGAGGTATGCCTCCGGTCAACTTATTCGAGTTCAGGGCTCTGTAAAAGCAAAAACAGAGCGTCATTGAAAGAAAAAAAAAAGGTGTCTGTCTCTTAGACATTTTAATCAAACACATTGTAGGCGAAAATAAAAGTTCTTACAGAAATGTGAGGTCCGGTAGGTTGCCCAGTTCATCTGGTATGTTGTTAGAAAAGCCACATCCAGCTAGAATCCTGAAATAAAATATGTAAAACCAAACTTATTTCTCGTACACCAAGAATGTGTGTTTGTGTGTGTGCTTGGCTCAAGATTCAATTTTTCCAGTGTTTTTTCTCTGTACGATCATTCAGTCAAATCTTGAACTGCTAAAAGTGCATATTTTTTTCCAATCTTACAATATGGTTAGTTTTTGCAGATCACCCAGCTTAGGAGACAAAGGGCCAGTGAGGCCAGGATTGAAAGATAAGTCCCTGAAATCATTAAGCTTCAAAATTCAGTCTAAAATAAGAGCAAAAGTTTATTATATACTAAAGCAATAGTTCTCCAATATTGCAACTAGGAAGAAGATTGCAATATATAGAGCCTAATGAAAATAATATAAACATTAAGGTACAAAAAAGGACTCACAAAGAAATTAACTCTGTGAGGCCCCCAATGTCACCACTCATTTTACCAGTTAATCCCATTGTTGACAATCCCCTGCAAAGATTGAGAGTTAATCAAGCCATAAGAACTCAGGATATGCTTTTCTTTTTGTGTTAAGAATTTATGATTGAAAAAAAAAAAAGGTGTATCAAATTTTGATTTTGATAAGCAGGTTCTCACAATGAAGTAACTCTTGAGTTGTTGCAGGCAATCCCTTCCCATGTGGCACAGGGATCGTCCGATCCATGCCAGCTAGGCGGCATGTTTCCCCATTGATCCTTTAGCGACCGAAGCACAGCAGCTTCAAATCAACACACGAACAGTTAACACGATAAAACGAGCATTAAACATGTACATTTTTCCGTTTTGGTAAGACTTATTATTAGAAGCTCGGTTCACAACGCAAATGTACTTGTTGGTGAATTGACAAAATTCGTTTAATGCAAAAATCAGACGTATTTTACTTCGCGCGATACAAAAATAAAGTAGTACATTTCGGATATGCAAAAGTAGTAAAATTTACCGTCCTGCGAGTTAGTCAAAGCATCAAGAGCATGGATCGACAGGCAGAAAACGAGCAGATAATCGAACAACTGCAGCCGCATGCTGATGGAAATTGAATTGCTCACTCTCCTTAAAAAAAAAACTAAAATGTGTACTAAAAAACTGCTCACTTTAAGATATGTAGCTGTCCAAGAACTAGTTAATATCAAGTGAAAATTTCAAATATATTCCCCTGATCAATAGTAATTGCTTAGAACTGAATTTAACAACCACTTTCTCATTTTTGATCTTTTTATTTCTGTTTTTTTTTTTCTATTTTCTTTGCCCCACTCTTGTTAGTTACTAGTTAGTGCCATCCACAGTGAAATAACAAGTAAAGAAATATAAATAATAATTGAAAAGATAAAAAGAAAAGGAAAGATGATAGAGATAGAGTTGGGTGGAGTAAAAATTTGAAGAAAAAGTATTGCTTGAAGAACAAATTCTGGGTTTTTTGCTGCTTTAAATGATTTGAACTTGTCTTAGAAGACAATCCAAACAATATATTGTGCCCTCCACTAGAGGTATCAACATGTTTGGCCACCCCACATTATATTTGTTCATCATTGATTGTTAAGCACTCTACAATCATGACAACATCAAACTGTTCAAAGTTACTATAATGTCTAGACATGCATTTTGATGTTTGGTTGAGTGGATAGTGTACATGGATTATGAGTAAGGCTAGACAAGACTAATCGATAGACAATCATATTTTTTTAAAAGATATACATATTTTGGAATTGAAGTGTCATACTCTGACAAACAATATAATAAAATTATCACATTTTTATGGCGTAAATATATATTTTTGTTAAAAATGTATAAAGAATTGACCTACCTAAGAACTAGACCATCCCACATTAGAATTTATAATATATTGTTAGGAAATTAGGGAGCATGCTTGTAAAGAAGAATTACAACCTATATAAAGGGGATCGTTTGGTTTTATTAAATACTAATCTTGGGTTATATAGTTAATTTGGTTTAACATCGTGTTTTGAGAGTTAGATTTTTTTTTTTTCCATAAAAAAAAATATACATATGTCCAGCTTTTGTTGATGGGCATTATTTATGTGAAATAATCTTGTCCGCACTATATGTGTACATTAACAGCAATGAAGAACAATTATTTTCATCATTTTGGGTAATGTCATGGAAAAAAGTAATATTCATTGAAGGAAATTATTAAAGTGGCCAATATTCACCTTTTGTTTTATCTTGTTTTTTCATAATTCAATCTCTTCCTTTTTTCTAAAAAAAAATATGCAAGGCTGCTAGCGCAAATGACTCCTAATTCCTAGTGTTGCAATTTTAATTTAATTTATTTTTTTGTCTATGTATCAATGTGATGAAATTAGCAATGTTATTAGATGAATCAGCTGATCAGTCTTAATGTCTGTTCACTAGTTCTGTCAAGAAAAATAATTTTGCACTAAAATTAGATAAGAAAAGAAAAATAGATAAACACACTTATTGTAAGTGAAGTAGTACCTTTCGTGCAATTTCTCCATACATTTCAGCTTCCTTCAAAAATCAATTATACACGCATTAGCTATTTTTATAATTAACGCGACACTTTTAAGAAAATAACAAGTATAGGCATAATACTTTACAAGTAATTTTTTTTTATTTTAATTTTATTTTAAAAGATTTGTAAAATGTACAATTATAAATAAAATTATACATAAATCACTCATAAACAAATTATAAATTAAAAGATAAAATAATTTAAGACCTAGATAGTAGATACAGAAATAATGTGCAAATCAACCATTAAAAAACAACGAAATTTAATATATTCATAATAAAAAAAAAGACTATTGTGAAATAAAAATAAAAATATAACTTTTATCTAATCCAGTGTCATTTTGGTTGTCTTGAATTATTTGGGAAGTTCTTTATAGGCATTTTCTGTTTTGCTTAAAAAATAGCATCCATAAGGGTCGATGTAATTGAGAAGGCATAAGAGAGGGGTTAAAAGGACCCCGTAGCCCAGACCCTGCTAAAAAACGTGAGCAACTTCAGTTAGAAGTATTATGTGGTTGCGGCTAAAATCAAAAGGCTGGGCCCATTAAAACCAACTAACCCGAAGTATGGTAAACCCAAACGAAGAGATGGCCCGGCCCAGCCCAGATCAGATTCGTCACAACCATAAAACATCGTCGGCAGCCGCAGCAAGGGGAGGCACAGCCGCCGCCGACGAGTCCACCGCCTTTGTCCTGTGATGATAATAACCTCATCGTGAAAACTCAGCTATTATTCCTCTTTGTTGGCTTCGAACGTGCTTCCCGGTCGTATAACCCCAAATTCAGGCCCACATCACCGCCGCCGCAAAAGCCCCCGCGAGCTCTCTCGGCCTTCAGTTGCTTCGCCGTGGAAGCCACCAGGAAGCAGCCGGATTTCGTCCGGCGATGTTCCTCAGGCATATCTACAAACACTCAATCACAATTACAGCGATATTATTATTTATCCTCGAAGCACATCCTTGATGGACTCATCAGGTTGGGGTAGTGGATCGTGTCCAGAGGAATATGATCCAATGAAGGTGCTTGAAACCTGATGTGTTACGTTAGGGATAGGCTGTAAACGAGTCGAGCTGAGTTCGAGCTTAGAGTGCTCGAGCTCTAGTTAGAGCCCTTAACAAGCCGATTTGAGCTCGGTTGTTAAATAAACGAACCTGAAATCGAGCTCGAGCTAGGCTTGTTTATCACTAATAACGAGCTCAGCTCGAGGCTTAACGAGCCGAACAATAGAAAATTCTATAAATATTCTCAGTTCGAGCCTTATGGAGTCGAACCGAACTCGAGCCTTAGACCATCTCCAGCCTTTATCTTCAGCCCTTATCTCTAGCGCAAATTTTACTCTACTCTAGAATAGAGTTGAACATTCATCTTCAGCCCTTATCTCTACATTTTACTCTACATTAAATATATTATTTTTTTATTTATTTTTTATTTCAAATAAATTGGTATATATGTATATTTAATTTTATATAAAATATTAATTACTCAAATAATAAAAATATATTTTATTTATATGGTATCATTTTAATATTAAAAAATTACAGAATAAAATTATAATACATCAATAAATAAAATGCACAAAATTATTTAACATAAAAAGTACATTACACAAATTATTTAGCATAAAAAATACATTTATTAATACACATTATACAAAAATATATCATTAATATTATATTAAAAATACATAAATGAAAAAAATCTGAAGTTGTGAACAGTACTGCGCCACAATTGGCGCAACACTGTTCACAGCACTGAAGTAAAGCTGAATTGTGGCGCTGGGCTGGAGGGATTTGTGGCGTTACTCTTGAGAGATAACGCCACACTGGAGGTGGTCTTAACGAGCTGAGCTCGAGCCAAGCTGAACTAGACTTGTTTAATTTAACAACACTAATTAGGAATCACGGATCACATTTCTGCTCATGTTCCATTTTGTGTTCTCAATGATTGACACGTGTATAAATGTTGACATCATCATACACACGTGTCATTCATCCAAAATGGAGTGCGAAATGAAACATGAAAATGGAACATCTGGACCGTTACATTAAGTATACTCATTCTCGATGCTATTGCTTATAACGAGGTGCTCATCGGCTTGAAGAAATCGGGTGTGAAAGACAGTCCAAAGAGATATGTAGAGCATGTTTGGATATAAATTTTTTGGTTTTGTTGGATTTTTTGATTTGGTTCAGTTAATTTTGAAAAAGGTAGTATAGTTAGTTATTAGTGGGTATATTCAGATAATATTTGCAATAAAATAATTAAAATTGATTTGATGTAAAAGTAGGAGAGATATGATTTGAAGTGAGAATTAGTTAATATAATGTGAATGAATGAATAGTGAATTAAAGTTGGTGTGATGTGTATGAATGATTGACTGATTTTATTTATATAATTATATCGATAATATTGATGATAGTGAAGTTGAGTTCAAAAAATGGTTGAGTTAAAATGTTGAAATATTTTTTAGATTAAACAATTTTTGAGTCAAAAAGTATATGAATAGTGAATTAAGGTTGATGTATGTAACATTTTAATTTATTTTTTTGTTATATTACGGGGTGTATTTAATTAAGATTTTTAAGGACTTTTTAAAACTTTAGAAATCATGGTGTATTCAATTTTGATTTGTTAAGACTTTTAAAAAACCTGGGGTATTCAATTGGGATTTTAAAATGTCTTACAAAATCATGAGGTATTTAATTTATTTGACACTAGGATTTCTTAAGACTTTTTAAGATTTTGTGGTATTTCTAAATAAAAAACCTTATACGAAATCATACTTCAAATCCCACCGCTTAGTTTTTTATTATCTATATAAAAATAATAAGGGGGGTGTATTCAATTCGGAATTTAAGTGACATTTTAAGACTTTTCGAAATTTGAGACTTTCTACGATTTTCAGATTTTGGAAGAATTCTATGAAATCTCAAGTCCGGAGGTAGGATTTGAAGTGGGATTTCATATAAGGTTTTTTGTTTAGAAATCCCACAAAATCTTAAGAAGTCTTAATAAATCCTAGTGTCAAAAAAAATAAATACCTCAGGATTTTGTAAGACTTTTGAAAATCCCAATTGAATACCCCAGAATTTTTAAAAGTTTTAAAAAGTCTTAACAAATCTAAATTGAATACACCAGGATTTCTAAAGTCTTAAAAAGTCCTTAAAAATCCTAATTAAATACACCCCCCTAAGAATTACTATTTACCAAAAATAGTAGCAAAAAAATAGGTCAGAATTTAATGCAGCCTATAAATATTAAGTTTTATTATTTTCTTATTTTTTTTCTTTAAAAACCATACAACATTAAATACTACCTTAAATTTGGGTTTTATTTCATTTTATTATTTAAAATCCAGTTAAGATTTATTAAGTGTGTATGTTTTCATTTTTATTTTTTTTCTTAGAAACCACGAACAATATTAAAATCTCAGTCTCTATATTTATAAAATCTCAATACAAAATATAACAAAAGTTTTAGTATCTCGGTCATTATATTTATGCTTTTAAAAAAAATATTGAACGCTAAAAAATATTCTTTAAATTGCATAATCAATCAGTTAATCTCAATTTTTTAAAAATTACTATGTTTATTTTTTATTAATATGCATAAAATAAAAATAATTAATTCATATTTAGATATATAATTTATAATCTTAATGTACTATCTTTTTTTTTTTTGCAAATCAATATCTTAATATACTATCATTTGGTGTAGACATTTATTATATGAATCATAAAATATTTTTATTTCATAAAATTAGATATATTTTAAGAAAATAAGAAAAAATTATTTGGATCAATCGGGTGATTGTATTAGGATATTGCCCAGGTTAATTGAATTAGTTTTAGGTGATATTTAAAATAGTCAAAAAAACTTGACACAACTTTGTTGGTCTCAGGTGACTAAGTTATGTATCAGTTCGACCACACCAAATCGATTATTGAACCTAAATATAAATTTTATATTGAAATTTTTTTATTACGTGAATGTGATATAGTCCAAACTTCAAATAATCGTTTTAGTAATACTTTATGACAACATGTTTAATAATTTATGAATATTTATATATCATTTTATTAATATTTATGTGAATTAAATAATATTTTATTATAATATTTATTAATGTACAATAAATATAAAGTTTTCAGAACTAGACTGTCATCGAAACGATCAAGCTATTTTATTAAATCATTTGTAGTTTGTTCATATTTTAATTATAAATAATTCAATATATATACATATATATAATACTTTTTGTAATTAATTTAAATAAAATGTGTTTCTTAGATACTAAACAATTTATAAATTCAAATGTCTAAACTAATTGATAAATAATTTATAAATCTCTATTTTAATTAAATATGTAATTAAATATGTAATTAAATTTATTTAGAAAATTCGAGAGCAAATATTTTATTCAAGCGAATTAAATTGGTTATAAACCGGTTCTCTGTCCATCCGGTCAGACTGTGTCTAACCCGGTTTAATTTAAAAATAATGGATAAATCATGATTAAGGTTATTTATATATTTAATTTATAATACAATCGTAATATCGTTTTCCCGTGCATCGCACGGACCACGCACTAGTTAGCCTCGACTAAGATGGATTTAGAATTGATGTTAAAGCATCCGAGAGTATCAAAATAAATTTCTAAGGGGTCTATACTACAAATCTATGTGTGATAAGTGCAAAAATTTTGTTCATGTATAAGTTACATTTTCGTTCTTTTTTTTTTAATTCTTTTTTATTGATCTATTTAATTAAAAATGAGATGAACGAGGTCAAAGTAATTTAATTAGCCAAAAATGTTATATAGTATCTGCTAGTTATAATTATCAACAAGATTTTTATCTAATTAAGAAAAAAGACAAACAACAGTATTTTTGTTTTCAAAATATATTTTTAGTCTTTTTCAACGGGATTTTAGCACAAAATTGAAAAAAAAAATGTCATTTTCGGTCATTTTCTTAAAAAAGTAGAAATGAAATAACCTAATTGTGTTGAACCAATTGCAATATTTAAAATAATTGATTTACTTAGCCTAATTTTCCCAAAAGAAGAAAATCAGCAGACCTTCTGCGAGGGCTGGCCTATGAATATAGTCAAAATACTCACATAAAACACGAACACGCCCTTAATCTCTACCCAATACCTATTGCCGCCGCCGTTTTTCAGTGTAATGGCGGCGACGTCACTCGTCCCTACTCCGGCGAAGACGCCGACGCCCTTTCGTCCGTACCGCCGATCGTCTCCTGCCGTCAACAGCGCCGACCCAAACTCCCGCCCAAATTCCCTTCGCACAAGCTGCGCAGCAAATATCGTGAACGGCAGCCCAACCGCCCTCGAGCAAGCGAGCAAAAAACCGTGGCCGAAGTTTTTCGAATCCACGATTCCGACGGAGAACGCGGCGAGCAGAAATCGCATCAAGCTGTTCTCCGGCTCGGCCAACCCCGCCTTGTCCCAGGTACGCTGCAATTCCGATTGAATGAGCTCCGATTTTGCAGATTCGATTTTTTTTTCAATCTATTGCNTTCAGGAAATCGCGTCGGATTTGGGGGTGGAGCTCGGGAAGGTGAAGAGGAAGAGGTTCGCCGACGGGGAGATTTACTTCCAGCTGGAGGAGAGCGTTAGGGGCTGTGACGTGTACCTGCTACAGCCGACGTGTCCTCCGGTTAACGACAACCTCATGGAGCTCAAGATCATGATCGAGACCTGCTGGAGCTCGTCGGCCAAGTCAATCACCGCCGTTATTCCCTACTTCGGTTACGCTAGGGCTGATAGACGGGCAAGACTATTTTTTTTTTCTTTTTTTTTTGGGTTATCAAATGTATGTGTTTTTTTGCACATATTAAAAAAAAAGCATAAATAAATTTGCAGGTTCAAAGTCGGGAACCAATTACAGCTAGAATCGCAGCAAGGGACATATCGCGTGCGAATCATGTTCTAGTTTGTGATATTCATTCTTTGCAGTCCATAGGTTATTTTGATATACCTGTAGACCATGTACAATGTGAGGTAATTCCTAGCTTACAGTATACATTTATCTGAATATACATAAGTATTATGTTATTCACATTTATTGTTTGCATTGTTCCATGACTTTTTTTTTTCACCTTCTGTATGGACTNTGTGTGGTGCATATAGCCTGTAATACTTGATTATCTAGCTAGCAAGGGGCTTCATTCGAGTAATATGGTAGTGGTTTCGCCTGATGTTGGTGGGGTTGCAAGGGCACGCGCATTTGCCAAGAAGTTAGGTGATGCCCCTCTAGCTATTGTGGATAAAAGGCGCCATGGACATAACATTGCCGAGGTATATAAAGTAAAATAAAAATTAAAAAACAAATGCTCGACAAAAAAAAGTGAGAAGGTATATTGTGTTAACTTATAACTCTCAGGTGATGAACCTTATTGGTGATGTTAGAGGGAAAGTAGCAATTTTGGTGGATGACATGATTGACACTGCTGGTAATAATGCATGCTTTTTATTTAACCTTCCATGCTTATCAAGAAAGGATCTTCTCTTCATTTGCAACGAACGAAATGAATTTCATGCAGTTTATGTAAATGAAATTTGAGTGTAGGAACAATTACAAAAGGAGCAGAACTTTTGCATAAAGAAGGGGCCAAGGAAGTGTATGCATGCTGCACGCATGCTGTTTTCAGGTAAAATCTCAGTGTAACATCTTTTACAAATATTTTCAAATATTCACAAATAATAATGTATTAACACATGTGGTGTCAATACATTAATTTACGAATGCTCAATAGAAATTCCGTTATAATATAAATATCTATCAAATCATTTTTTTTTTTAATTATTATTTTGTTTTCAATTGGGCAGCCCGCCTGCCATTGAGAGATTGTCCAGTGGACTGTTTCAAGAAGTAATAGTTACCAACACAATTCCAGTGGCGGACGAGAATTATTTCCCGCAGTTGACTGTTCTTTCCACAGCAACGCTCTTGGCCGAGACGATTTGGCGCCTTCACAATGAGTACTCCGTTAGTAGCATCTTCCGATGAATGGATGCACTATTTAATTATACATGTTTTTACCATTCTATTTTGGATAAATTTTATTGTAGACATGTTTTTTTAAATCATCGGTTACTTAAATTGAAGCATCAAACTACAAACACAAAATCACTCACGTTCTCGTGGATGGTTTAGTACAAGCAATACAAATTTTTTTATTAATTCAAATCTAACTCAATGTTAGCTCAATTCAACTCTCTTTAATATTATTAATATAATTAAATTATACCATTCAATTATTGTTACACATTACATCAACACAATATTCATCCATTAACATAATTTTCACTAATTATCCACTTCACATCATTTGTCTCATATTTTTACATTAAATTAAATTTAATTACTTTATTTTAAATATTATTTTAATATAAACACAAAATCTCGCTAATAATCAACTATATCACTTTTTTCAAAATTTACCATACCAAACTAAAAATCCAAACAAAATTAAAACATCTTATATCCGTTGCCAAAATGTTTCAATTTTCAAGGATGTATGATGCATCATATTACATATAGGTATTAGGCACTAACCTCTCTCGCTCTCTCTCAAAAATGGCCTCTTAAATAGAATAAAAACATCTAACAACTTCAACTCTGCTATAATAACGGTTTACGCCTAAACAAGCAAACATATGGTGCCAACAGCCAGCTCCAAGCATGGCCCAATGGGCGGACAAAGTTCAATAAGAAACCAGAAAAAAGCTGTTGAAAAAAACAAACAAACATACAAACATGAATGCAAGCAACATTACAGTCTTCAAACGAGCAATATGCAAAGAAAATAAAAATATACACACCAAAAAAAAAAAAAAAAANAAAAAAAAAAAAAAAATCTTTCACCACTGTGATTGTGACATACTCTTGAAACATAACCTTTCTCAATCTCTTCCGACCCCAAGAAGCCACTGCGCAAGATGAGTTAAGTACGGCTCAGCATAAGAACTGCTGCTCAATATTGGTCCAAGACTCTGAAGTTCCCTAGAAAACTCCTTCTCAAACTTCCTGCAGAGTACGCGTGTTAGACTTCACGAGGAAGATGGGTAGCATCATCAAATTATGCGATTATCTTTTCAAAATTATCAAAACACTTCATTAAGGCTAGGATTTTCATAATAAATACGGGAATAGCTCATCAGTCTCAAGGGCAATTTGAAAGATTTTCAGGGTATCAGAAAACCCTCCAAATTGTTTTAACTTACAGGATGGATTCAACAACTGCTGCATTTTCAGGAGCGGCATTCAGCAACTGGGATCGGCTTCTTAGTTTCAGCTTTTTGTATCTATCCACATCGGGACTCTCAGTTTTGGGGCTGTCGTTTGAGTATGTAACCAGCCATTGAGCTGCTGATGCATACTGAAGGCATATCGATTTCATCTTCTCTAGCTTCTGCATTGAATAAAGTCATTGTTGAGCAAAGGGAATTCAAGAGTAGCAAGCACCTTCAATCAAAGCTAAATCACGATTTATAATTCAAGATGCACTGTGAAGTGTGTAAAATCCTATGAGATGTACGGAATGCTTTAGCACTAGAAAGTAGAGGTAATGTCGACACAGAGAAAATATATAAAAGCAATCTCAAATGGGTAAATTCACGAGACAGGTCAAGTCAATGAAATCACAGAACGGAACAATTGTACTTTGAAATACAAAAGCCGACTTGGAGATGGATTAATTAATTAACAAAAAGATATATGGAAAATTTATATAAAAGCACAGTATAGCATGTACTTACCCATGACGTAATTACATATCAGTAATGCATCATACCTTGAGAAGAACGGGTGACAGAAGCAAACATTCCCTCAAGCACTTTTCAAGAAAAAAGTCATGGTATTGTATGACCTGCAACATAGAGTTAGTGGAGATAGAAATGTATTACAAACGGTCCAAGAACTCATGGAAGGTACTATGAGCTACAAGTTGGATGCATTTCAACTTCTGTTCTAACAGAAAGCAAGCAGATATAATTACAAAGTATGATGAAGAGGGGAGCCTTCTACCTCGTCAATACTCTTTGCAGTTTGAAGTCTATTATGCATGACATGCCAATTCGGCTCAAGAACCTGAAAGCCGTCATAACAAGGAAAGAAAAGATAATAACAGTAACAATAATATATAAAATAAGATGAGCCATCACGGCCAGCACATCAAACATGTCGAGGAAAATAGAGAAAGGGGGACCTGCCTCAAAAGTCAAATAATGTAGAAGGCTATTGATAAACTTAAGCATATTCCGGCATAGCAAGGATGAGACAGAAATTGCTATTCCTTGCATATCAAGTCTACGAAGACCCTACAACAATATGCATCTCCGGAGATTGTCAGAAAGGTGAGTAAGCATTAGAGATTATAAATAAGTTTCAAGCACCATACTTGATGTAATTGCCATGCTGCACAAAGTTGCCGATTCACATGCTTGCAGTGAAATAGAAACCGAAATATTAACTGATATTTTGTTAAAGCTTTTCTAGAGATAACGAGGGATAATGGCCATCGGACCTGAAATAAAATAAACTCACTTCATTAAAATGATATTTGGAATGAATTATTACAAGATCATACAAAGTCAGCAGACCACTTCAATCAATGGTCCGAAAATATCATGCTCCTAGAAAGCAATATTTGAACTATGTACAACCCCATATTGAAACTAACACTGCTTTTTAGTGAAACCTTTTGGAGAGCAAACTAAAAAATAAAAAAACAAATTAAAAGTTTGTTGTGTGTTAAAGCATATACAAACCTTGAAACTCAAAGAAAATGTTTCCAAGCCTGTAATGCTCACAGGCTCTTCTAGGTCATTGCTGCTGGAAACACTCTGTTTCATTTGAAGATCTTTGAGCGTACTCAGCCTTTTTAACAGAGTGGTTCTTTCCTGTAATAATGATACATCTTGTCAAGCAAGTGGCATCATATGGTCCCATGTCATGCATCTGTCACCTTATAAAAAATTTAACACTGACCACACAACATGTTAAATCCTCATGACATGGATCGGCTACAGCTGCTGTAGATCGCAATGCAAGGTCCAGGAGAGACTGTACAGAAAGTAGTTTGTATGAGCGAAATTAACTCAAGAAGAAATTTAAAGATCAAAATAATTACTCTTGCAAATAATATGTGCATAAAGACACACCTGCAGCTTTTCAGCGGAAATCTCATCTGGCTTTTTCATGAGCTCCTCGCGAGCTATATCCATGAAGTGAACCAAAAAGTCACCCTGCAACCTCAGTTGAAATGAGAAAAATGGGCGAGGAGCAGCGTGCGAAAATATAAATAGCATCTCTAAAAATCTACAAAATTAGAAATGGCTTCAAGTGTTGCATCATAACCCTACAGTACAATCTTCCTGAACCCTACAGAACAATAATTTAAGTTACAAAAATATAACCACAAACTAATAGATATGACCCTAACAAATAATGCAGACCCAGAGCTCTAGACGATAGGCAGATGTTGAGGTATTTGCAGCCTACATCAAGTATGAAACAAATAACAAAAAACTAACAATTGGCCCTCATGAATAAATGGATGGCTGTCTATAAGCAAAATGTTGGCATTCTCTCCACAGCTGATACTTTTGTAAATAATAAAAAAATAAATTAAACTTGTTCACCAAGCAATAATCAAATAGTTTACTGGAGCATCATGGTACTGCACAATACTTCTGAATTCAACAAACTTGCTAATATTCTGCAAAAGTTGTGCACGGTCATACCTGATCAAGAAGCAAATAGTGCTTGATTGACCTCAGTTTCCCCATTAAGTCATACTGCCAGTAAAACAGTAAAGAATTATCAACAATTTGAAGTTTAAGCAGTGGAGGACAGCAACCAAAACTGACAGAGAAAAGAACTGCATTGCTGAACCAGACCTTTTCTTTTACGAGATTCAATAATTCACCACTAGCAAAATCATAAGCAGCTTTGATGCACTCAAGGTATCGATGATTAGACCCAACTGTCGTCAATTTTAAATTTTCTGCTACAGGAACCTACCAAAAAGCAATTTGATCAAGAGTTTATACTTGAATATTAAAGTCAAATGAAGCATAAAAACACAAAATAGTCAAGCAACAAACCTGAATACTATGGCCACATTCTCTCATAACATTTAAATATTTTCCCGTGATCAAAATTGTTTCAGCAGCATTTGCAAGGAAACTAGGGATGTCATCTTTCAGGCTGTAGCGCTGTTGCCAATACTTTGCATCGTAATCATGTGTGAGACTTTCCTGTTCAAAAGCAAATACAGACAGGTCATAACGCCGAAGTCTGCAGCATACACATAAAAATGAAGTCATACATACCTTCTGAAGAGACTGATTCTCAGCAATGAAAAATTCACCATAGGGGTCATCAATCACTCCCTCATACACCCATCTGTAGTTAAAAGAAATTACCGCTTCAGCAATACAACTAAATATAATGAACCATTTAAGGATGTCGAGTACAATATATAATCCACAAATGCACAAGCCTGTATTACCAAAAATGTTCTACAAAATAGTATGGATAGAATGCCACTAATTGGGAAGTAAATTGACATAGCTTCAGGAACTCCCAAACCAAGTTAGTCAAATAGGTGATTTTAAGCTTCTCAGTGGACTTTTTAATAACAATATATACCGGACCTCTGTGAATCCTCTACATTGTTCTCTACTCACAAGCTCATTTATTTATTAACCAAACTAGAAGCTTGTGTGTGGCCACTCTAACATCTTTAATCTGCTTCAGACACCATATTCATTACACTAAAATATCGAAAACAATACCTCTCTAATATTCCAAGATATGCTTGGTTTGCAGATTGTGACATTTTTTCCAACAAGGACCTCACTACATGGTCTCCTGCCATGGCCTTCGCCTGTAATAATTTTACAGATATGATTGTCAAGGTAAACAACCGATTCATATGATTTAACCTTCCCCAATATTACGGTTCCGTAGTATCATACTTGGCTTTGCAAGAGGTTAAGAACAACGGAGCCAATGGAATTAGAAGCTGAAGCTTTCTTTATTAGAATGGATAATGCTAGCATTGACCCCATCATTGGCTGTAAGAAAGGATGAAAACAAGTCAGTGTAAACCTGATTAATAAAGCACAACAACAACTACTAAGTGAGATTTTAGTCGACAAACCTGGCAATAAAACCATAATCCTTGAATAGAAAGTTTCCCCAGACGAAATTGATGTTCGAGCTGAGCCACCATGGCTTGGTAATCCTAAACCTCCCATATACTTAAAATGTTAGCCTCTTTCATAATAATCAATCACGTCGGAATACATAAGCTTGAGCGATTGCATTTCACACAGTGGGGCACAAGAACAGTTACATACAATGCTACGTTGTACGAAGCACATATTAAATGAATAAATAGAACATCCATCCATACCCCAAACAAAGACATGCTACATCATAATACAAGCAAAATATAGATACACCATTGATATAAAAGAATCCAACACTTTATTCTTTAACAATGCATGTCATTCCAGGGTGCAAGTGAGCAAACAGTTCACAATTAAAGGACTAATAGACTGACAAAAAGTAGAAGTTACAAGTTTAAAGAAACAGAAAGGAAAAGGATGAGAGGAACCCACAAGTAGTAGCGTTCTAAGTGCAGCTGCAAAAGCGTGATTGACAAGACCACTTTTGAACTCGGACCTTGACTCAACAAATTGATTAATGTATATGTAGCTCTCACAGAGGGGAAAAATCCGTTTAGCAGATTCCTGCAACCGTATAGTATAGTATAAATAGGTTGAACAAGATTCCTGGCAGCAGATGGATTAAATAAACTTTTGAAAAGTGCAGGGCATTATTTCTTCCCTATACTGAAAACAAGTAACACATAGGTTTTTTTTTTTTACCTGAAGTACCAAATCCATAGATGCATCAACTTGGAAAATTGCACTATCATCCTTCCCCTGGACTCCTCGTATCGAGATATATCGTCCTTCAATTCCAACCAAAACTGACAAGAGATCGTCAATAACAATCAATTCCTGAACATTACACAAACGGGTTAACACAGAACAAAATCAGGTGATGCAAAGACCACCAACAGGTAACATACTCAAGTGTAAGCCTCCAAGTCCATTTTGACCTACTTTAAAGTTTCACCATTACCGTATAATCCAAGGAGCATACAAGACCCAAGTTTCGTGTATCATAAATGTCAAAACTACACATCAAGGGAAAAGGGCACATATTATTCAGGATGTTTACCTGTATCGCAGCATGATAGCAACCTATCGACTTGTCCACTCCAGGACTGTATGAGCAAGGAAGAATAACAAAAATAAATAAATAAATAAATAAAATAAACAAATGGAAATTAACTGATATAACAATATAACTGCAAAGGGATGGTGGTGGCGACGGAGAGATATTACAAAGCAAACAAAAAATCTCAGGAGCACAACTATCGCAGTAGCCAGTTATCGTTTGGTTTCAACTGAGACAGATTCATTCTCGAAATTTATTACGAAGTAGGAAAATTAACATTTTCGTTTCCATACCCGAAAATTTCCATGGAGAAACCCTTTGATTCGGCCAGCCCAGATGCGGACATCATATCCCGCACAAACAGCTTCAGTTATTCTTAAACACAAATAAATAACTTCACCGAAAACACTGAAACAAACGACTGGAGGTCAAACGAGGGAAGGGGACAGAAAGGGAGAAAAGACGCCGGAAATTACTGAAAGAGCCGGTGGAGGTGGAATCGGCCGGTGCGGAAAGCTTATGATGCCATTGTCAACAAGAAAAATATTTTAGAATTTTTTTTCGGGGGAAAAGATTTTCAATTTTTCATCAAAAATTTAAAAAGTTGTCCCCTCTCTTTTAAAAAAATATATATATTTATAACTNATATATAAAATCAATGTTTTTTTCCTAATCATCAATTCATTATTTGATTATTATTTTGATTTGGATATTAGAAAATGGCCAAAAAAAAATAATTCCCTAAGATGAAATAAATTTATAATTTATCCATGGTTATATGCACAACAATTTTTTAGTAAGTGATTTAATGATTAAAAATAAACTTATTAAAGATGTGATCGCAAAAAGGTAAAAACTACATCTAAATTGCGTCGGTGACCTGTTTATTACCAACAAATTTGTTCAATCGAGGAACAATTGTCTATTCCCATTAAACTAAAAACGTCACCCTGCAAAGTAGGATGCTCTAAGCGCTAGCTCGCTCAAATTTATCTGTTTTTAATTCTACCAACTTTTAAATTAGATATAATTAGTTCTGAGCAATAAAATTCATCTTCTCCTATACGTCCAACTTATAATTAATTTGATATCTATCATTATATTAAAAGATTAACCATTTAACAAATTTAGTAAGAAGAAAAGTCAAACAATAATTATTACATTCTATTTTTGACAATTTTTCAATTTTCTTTTTATTTTATTGCAAAAAAAAAAGCGAACTATCATGAATGCATTCTAAATTCGTCTGTTGATTAATTTTTTTTTAATTAATTACTAGAAAATCGGTAAACCATAACTGCATCCTATATGAGTTTTGTGAATGAGGTACTTTCGGGTATTGTTCACGATTTTGTAGATTCCAAAAGCAGGGAGATCTTATTGCATAGAAAATCTGTTCTCATTTTGAACTTAAAATTTAAAATTTTTTATTCATTATGATTATGTAGTTGCCTTAAAATCGGACTCAACAAAAATTTTGAATTAGGCAAAATACAATAATATCTTTTTCTATAAATCAAAAATTAAATATATATTTATAATTTTGTCGAATTCAAAATTCCATTTCATTATTCTTTAGAAAAAAAACTGATCGCATCTAATATCAAGTATCATTTCAAATTTAAATTTTAAATTTTTTATTCCTTATCATTTGGTTGCCAAAGGGCTGAATACAAAATTTGAATTAGGCAAAATAAAATTACATATTTTTACATAAATTTAATTTAAAGTAGACCAAATTCGAATTGAAAATTTAAATTTTAAGATCCCCTAGGATTTGGTTGCAACAAAATCGAATATAATGAAAATTTCTACTGGACAATCAAATCAACGATTTTTTGTTAAAAATCGCAACAAATCTTGAATCTAACATAAAACAATTTCATTACTTTTAAAAAGTTATTAATTTTCAAAGGTTGGGACTCTTTCAATTTAATAATACCAAAATTTCAGATTTCAAATACTGAGTTCGAAATTTATGTTTTTTTTAAACCGATAATCCTATTTGGAAATAGACACAATCTTTATTTTGGAAACCGCTAATATTATGTTTTTCAATTTGACATGTATTTCATAAATTACACTTTTTCAAAATTTTGACTTACTTTGTTTAAATTTCGTGATTTCGAATTTGAAATCTTCTGTTGGAGTAATTTGTAATTACTAATATTTTTTATACTTTTAAACACATTTTTCGAGTAAATTTTTAATGCATTCTATAGATTAAATTATATGTATATGTAAAATTTAAATATCCTTAAACATGTTTTGGTTACAAAATAGTTTAGAAAAATTTTAGGTGAATTCAAATTTTTTTAAAAATAATATGTAATATTTTACATATTCTTATATATGTTTTATAATATTTTAGGTGTTTTTAATATTTTAAACGTGCATGTTTTATGTTATCTTAGACAAGATAATTTCTAATATTGTAAATGGTATCCCATGTTAGCTCCATTTAATTATTTATAATTATTATTCAATATTTTTAACTCACTCATTAATTTATAATTATTATTTTATATAGTTTACTCGTGCATCGCACGGGCTACGCACTAGTTCACCCCAAAAATGGTTCTTCTTCCATTTGCGTTTTTTTAACTATAAAAATGGGTACGTTTTTTATTATTATTATTTTTTTTGGCAATCCTACTTCTTTATTAGGATGAATGGATACCTTTTATATGTAGTCATAATTATCTTCTATACTATTTAACTTATTAGTAATAACACAATAATAATTAGAGGAATTTGCACCCTCTACTTCAAGATTCCAAATATATTATAATTATACACCTATTAGGGAAATATTTATAATTGTACTAAAATCAACCTAAAATATTGCAGATATACCTAAGGGTAACCGTTTAAATTAATTGGGATAATTAAGGAAGTTGCTGATTTTACGGTGAAGATAATATCTCTCCAACAAAAAAGCACCCACCGCCCCACATTCACCACAAAAAAATCTCATCTCATCGGTTTCTCTTTACTTCTTCAATGGCGAAAACAAAAAGTCCCTCTCTCTACTCGATCCGGTTGCCGGAAGCCGGAAAAACCATCATCGAGACCCCATTCAGCAGCAGCACTCCCCGTCGGCCTTCGTTCAATGGCCGAACAGCAGCGGTCGGTTCCTTTTTAACGGACCCCAGCCATTAGTCGGGCCAGCACCTCGAGCGACCGTCTGAACAGGAGCAGCGGCGCTTTCGGCTCTCTTGCTCCTCTCCGGTTTTCTTTTCGAGCAGCCCGTATGTGTGAGGGGAACCCGAAAGAGCAGCGGCCTTTTTCCTTTTTTCTCTTTCCGACGGGTTCATGTTAATTCTGATTTTTTTTTATGCGAGAGTTCAATTAAGGCTTGAGTGATGTAGATTTAATTGGGAGTTTTTCCGCGCAGATGAAGATGGATAAAAATATGAGGCTTGAGTAACGTGGATTAATTTCGACGCCTGGAACTATTTTCAGTATATGTTCGATATATGTTCAGTATATGTCCCCAATTCTGTTGGTATATTTTGAGTAATGTTTGGTATATTTTGAGTAAAAATATGTTGTGCATATTTTTGAGTAATGTTTGGTATATTTTTTAGTAATGATCAGTATATGTTTTGTATATTTTGAGTAATGTTTGGTATATTTTGCGTAAACTAAACATAACGATAAAATATACTGAACAAAAACTAAAAATATACTTATGCTGCACAATAAAAATCAACTGCTGAACATAAACCAAATATATTAAAACTACGCAGTTTATTTCCATGAACAAATACCAAAATATACTGCACATATACTTTCACCTGTTCAACATTTTATGAAATAATATAGCAGCACTACGACTATATATGAGATATGATAATGAAACATGGAAAGTTTGAAATATGATATCTAACAGATATCCTTCCAAGATTGAAAGCTGAAATTATGGGCTAGAAACATGGAAAGTTTGTTCCATATTGTGTAATTGATATTAGGCATGACTTTAATTACTTTTTATTTTTTAGGTATAAACACAATTTAATTGGTAGGAGTGGTAAAGGTGCAAATATTTAAAAAACGAGTAGTAAAGGTGAAAATTTCCCTAATAATTAATAATTAAAAACATTAGCTTTGGTTTGGCCTAGTTTTTCAATTAAAGAAAGTGGAATCCATTCTTCTCTTAGGTAGTGTTTAGTTGGGGGAAAAAGGAAGGGAAGAGAGGAAACTTTTTACTTTTCTCTTATTTGGTTGGGATATTTGGATAGGAAGGGAGAGAAAATTTTAACTTAAAATCCCCTCCCCTCCCCTTTTTTTGCTCCCCTCAAAAAATGGGGAATTTGGAGGGGAGGAAAATTCTAACACATGCAACTACAATTTTGCCCTTATTATATATAATATTTTAATTCTTATTTCTAATATCATTAAAGATATATTTGTCATTTTAACATTATTTCCTTCCCCTTTCATTTTCTTACCAAATAAGGTTTACCATTTTTCCTCACTTTTCCTCTAACAAAATCTTCCAAACAAGGTAAAATTATTTTACATCACCTCCCCTTCCCTTTCCTCCCCTCCATTAAAATCCCTCCCCTCCCTTTTCCTCAATTGAACCAAACATACCCTTAAGTTCATATCTCTCTCTCTGCATGAGTCTCAAGTTCAGCTCTCTCTTTGCCTTTCACGCAAACTTAGTCAAGCCGCAGCCCATCTTTCGATTTCTCTCATCTCTCACTCTCCGCCATTGGCTGCTCACGCTCGTCTTCGCCAGTTTCAATTTAGGTCAACTCTCTCTCTCTCTCTCTCTCAGTCTTCTTCTTTCCTTTTCCGATCTCATCCTCTTTTTTCAGGGACCAACAATTCTAATTTTACTTTTCAATAAGCTTTTGGAAATTTTATATGTTAAGCTTGTTATGCAATTTCATGGGACTTATTTCAATTGGACTAGTGTTCTTCGACAATGGCCATTTTATGTCGATTAACAGAAACCGCACTAAACTGAACCGAAAATTTTGGTGTGGTTTTGATTCGGTTTTTCCTTCAAGTTCGGTGCGGTTCGGTATGGACAAATGTACATTTTCAGTTTTCGGTTTTTTTGCACCGAACCGCACCAATGCTCCCTAGGTGTTGTATTCCTTTATTGGGCTGTAAATTGTCCAGACTAGCCCGACCAACTTGGCCTTGAAATGACCCTATAATTTGGCCCAAATATCCTATTTTCCCTTTTCTTTTTATATTTATAATATTTGATATTTCTTCTACAATTATTTGTTTAATTCTGGTTCTGCCGATCACGCTCCATCTCCAGACTCGGATTTTCTCTCTCTAGATTTCGATCTGTCGCAGCATTCAACCCAATACTCAATCTTCATTAATCTTAATGCCCATGGATCAAGCCGAGCTATCTACCGACCAGGTACGCATACATCATACATACAGCTCCTGTGTATATTTGTACGCATAGACGAACAATTGCTGGCCTCTTTCCCAAGTTTTAAGCCAAAATTTTAGAAAACTTTGAGTTTGAATTAGTTGCTGTGTCCTGGCATTGATCCTGTGAACGTAACTGTAGATTTTTTTAATAAAAAGTTCGTTGAATTGGTTATCGTTTGATTCGTTAAAGATTCCTTTTTTTTGTCTGTGTGTGTGTGTGTGTGAAATTGATAATTTTTTTCGTAACTGTGATGCAATTCGTATATTTTTTAAGGTTCTGAGGAGAGATATTCCATGGGAAACTTATATGACTACGAAGCTGATCACGGGAACAGGTCTGCAGTTGTTGAGGCGCTACGATAAGAAGCCCGATAATTACAAGGCTCAGTTGCTTGATGATGTAATCTTTTTTTACTCGAAGTTGTATATTTAATTGAAATGCTGCTTCTTTGCTACTGAACAATGCTGCTTGTTGTTAGCTTGAAGGTTAACTTGTGTCTCTGGGTCAAAAGATTTGACTTGTTGTGCTAATTAAGTCGTGCTAAATTGCAAAAGCCACAAAGTACCTGTGTAATTTACGAAAGCCTGAACTCGTGGGTTTTACCATTTTATTAATCTTATGTCAAGCATCTTTTAAGGATTTGAATCTCTTGGCACCATGAGTTTTGAGTAACTTTGTGATAACATTTAAGAAATTTTCTTATTGTGTGCATGAAAATACGCGAGCTATGATAATAGATGGTGAAATTAGTTCGATGTATGACAAAGTCCGTATGCCAGGCGATAACTGTTGTAGATTCTATATTTGTTTTCATAGGGTACCATGACCAATCAAAATTATCATTATCATTGACAACTTCAAACTTGTTACAGGATGGTCCAGCTTACGTTCGTGTTTTTGTTAGCATATTGCGTGACATATTCAAGGAAGAAACTGTGGAGTATGTTTTAGCTCTGATTGATGAAATGCTTTCAGGTAAGAGGACAAATTGAATATTCTGTTTACCTAGCTTCTACCATTCCAAGTTGCTGACATCATTTTTCTGCCTTTTATTTTTCCATGTATGGCAGCAAACCCGAAAAGAGCAAGGCTATTTCATGATATTTCACTCTCCAACGAGGATACATATGAGCCTTTTCTAAGGCAATGATCTTGCTTAATGCTGCATTTTATAGTTATTAATGTTCAAGTAGGCTTATCAGAGTTAGTTTTTTCTGATAAGTTTCTTATGTATTCAACTTTGGAGTTAAATATAAAATGGATGAACTTACTAAATATAAAGTGAACGAACTTTTAAGTATCACATTATTCATAGCAGCCAGTCCTGCGATTCCGGTAAAGTTGTTCATTATTTAATTGTAAAGTCAACATTGATTAATTTGTTGCCTATTCTTCCATGTTGCTAGCACGAATAATAGATGAATGATCACCTCATTCTTTTTTCAGATTGCTCTGGAAAGGTAACTGGTTTATCCAAGAGAAGAGCTGCAAGATACTTTCTTTGATTGTAAGGTGTGAACCACTCCCATCCCATTGGCATATGACTGGCTTTATATGTTTGTTTGACACTTATTTTAATTGCAGTGAAAGGCCATGTTCGAAAGATGGTGCCATTGCCAATGGGGCATCAAATTCGAAGAAGGCGATCACTACGATTGATGATGTTTTGAAGGCACTGGTTGACTGGCTTTGCTCACAGGTTTGGTTTTCTTCTCTGAGTTCTTTTTGTTTCTGTTGAGAGGAATTTGGAAGTCTCTGAATAATTATTTTGTTTATTGTGTGTGTTTCTAATGATCAAATGATGGTATAGATGTTTAATATTTTCAAAACATAAGTTCTCATGCCAAAACACTGACAATGTAAATGTTGTAACCAGCCTGTCCGATGTAGAATCACGAAGGATATGTGTGCATACACCTTTTCACTATATACGTAAAACCATTTTGTGCAGTCTATGGATTTTAATATCTGTTCTTCAGTTAGTGGCATCGTTTGTTGCTTCTAGTTATTAACGTAGAATAGGAAAGTGAAATTTAGAAGAGTGCAAGGAAAATGCAGAAAGGTTAATTTTGGACAATATTACCTTATCAAGAAGCTGACAATTATTTGTAAAAGTCGGTTTCAGTAATAAGGTGTTGGGCATGCTATGGCTTTCTCCAAACGTTATAGCTCTTGGACAATTTTGTTTTTACTCTACAAGCGGGTGTGTGCTTATACATTTTTAATTTTCCAGCTAAGGAACCCATCGCATCCTAGCCGTGGCACTCCCACTGCTGTTAATTGCTTTGCAACTTTACTGAAAGAACCAGTGGTTCGATCTTCATTTGTTCAAGCAGATGGAGTGAAGTTGGTCGTTCCTTTAATTTCTCCAGCATCAACTCAACAATCCATCCAGGTAACCTCACTTCATGATTCCTATTTTGAATTTGTTTCGCTTCTATCCCGCATTCTTGCATGAAAAATCTTTCAGATTCGTTGTAGTGTAGATCATAATCTTATTCTATATTCATGTGAAGTTAGCATTGATGTTGTTATCGGAATTCGTAGTGTATGATGTTTTGACATTACAGCTTGTAACTTAAAAAGTTTTTGTACTTTAACGCAGCTCCTGTATGAAACATGCCTTTGTGTGTGGCTCCTCTCATACTATGAACCTGCAATTGAGTACTTGGCCACTTCTAGATCTTTGCCTCGGTTGATAGAAGTCGTCAAAGGATCCACTAAGGAAAAGGTAAGGCCTTCCATGTGTTTGTGTTGGGTTTATATTTTTATTACCTTTTTTTCTAAATCCCTACCCATTTTATTTCATTTGCATCAGTGGTTGCCTCCTTAATGTTAGATATACTTTTGAATCTATCGCCTCTTCAATTTGCATATACCAATAATCCTCTATGGGAAAATCCTTAAGTATTCTTTTGAGAATTGTTTTCAATCAACTTATGCAGGTTGTCAGGGTAGTTATCTTGACTCTTAAGAATTTGCTACACAAAGGAACATTTGGTGCGCAGATGGTAAACCTTGGACTGCCGCAGCTTGTTCAGAATCTAAAAGCTCAGGCATGGAGTGACGAGGTGAGATAAAACTTCCACGTGGTGCTATACATGGGTATTTTGTTCTTGCTAAAATTGAGTAAATTTGTTATTTACATCCCTAATTTCCAGCTGGAGTACAACTAAAAAAGATGTTATATGTGAATTTACTCATCTAGATGGGACTGAAGGCATCTATAAATTTCATTTACCGCAAACTAACATTACGTGCAGTCTATTTGTCTTTTATGCCCGAGCATCTTCCCATTTTTCTTCACAACTTTACTATGTTGTACTTATGTTATAAGTTCTCTTTGCAGGATCTGCTGGAAGCTCTGGGTCAACTGGAAGAAGGATTGAAAGATAACATCAAGCTGCTAAGTTCTTTTGACAAGTACAAGCAGGAAGTCCTCCTAGGGCATCTTGATTGGTCGCCTATGCATAAAGATCCTATATTCTGGCGGGACAATGTTACAAATTTTGAAGAACATGATTTTCAGGTACCATTTATATTTATTCGTAATTATGTAGTTGTGACTTGTGATCTCCATTGCGAGAGTATTTTTCGCCAAATTGCTGCTACTGTACCACCTGTCCATGTAAACTTACTATATGGTGTGCACTAATGGACTAGGAATTACATGCACGCTGCAAAGCGAGTCATTGGGTTTTTATATTGGGGAAATTGGTACATCTTTTTTTGCTCTAGGTGCCTACATTTTGGTTATCCCCACCAAATCTTTTGTTTCGCTCTTGGTTTATGTTATCCAGAATCCTCCTTTTTTTCGCCCGTCTTTTTCTGTTGTTGGATTCTGTCTGCTGAACCAAACCAAACCGTCAAACCGAACTGAAAATAACTGGTAATTATTAATAAGTATTGTGGAGTTAGTTTCAGTTTAACCTAGATTTTTTTTGCCAGGAAATACTTGTAAACTGACATGAACTTGAATACACCAGAGAACCAGATTATAATTCTCATCATTGTGCAGGAACCTGATATTTTTTTTTGTTTTTTTTTTTATTCCTTTTCTGCAGATCCTTAGAGTCCTCATCACGATTTTGGACACGTCCTCCGACCCTCGAACACTAGCCGTTGCTTGCTATGACCTCTCCCAATTCATTCAATACCATGCTGCTGGTCGTATAATCGTGACTGACCTCAAAGCCAAAGAACGAGTGATGAAATTGATGAACCATGAGAATGCTGAGGTCACCAAGAATGCCTTGCTCTGCATCCAGAGGCTATTTCTGGGTGCTAAGTACGCCAGCTTTTTGCAGGTCTGAGTAATTAATTTGTTCATAAAAGTCGCTGAATGTCCATGTTTTCTATTTATGAGAATATACGGAACAAATACGGATACAGAGAGTTGTGTGTATTGTTTATTTATTTGTGATTTGGAGTGTTTGAGCGTGTTTTCGCCTGATCATTTTGCTTCAGGTTTTCATGCGGATGAATTTCTGAATAAATTACGTTGTATTTTTCTCATACGCCCATTGAATAAGTCAAGACAGTTTAGTGTAGAATATCCGTTGGTCTGTAATAATCACATTATCTTCTTCCTGCACAAACATTTGACCTAAATATTTCGTATTTTGTCATGTCTATGGAGTTTTTGCTCGATGCTAGGTTATTCCTATCATTCTTTCGGCTTTTATCCATTGTGGAGAACAATTCTTTTGATTTGCTCAATATAAGTTATAGTTTTGGAAAAATTAAATACTATGATGTGCATAAATACACTCTTAATGGATTGAGTAGAAACAAAATGACCGAGTTTTTTTTGTCCACGATAAACTAGAAATTCATTCCACTCAAGAAAATTACAAACGGATAACCAAATGTTATTAATGAACGAGGCATCCTTTACAGCCCTTACGGCTAAATCCACAACTAAAGACACAGTAATCAAAATTGGACATCAAAGACAATATATCAGAAACCATAATGTTAGTGTCAATAAGGGGGAAAATTGCGTAAAATCATAGATTTTTTCACATCAAATTAAGAGGAAACATAAGTTTTTATATCAACTAATGATTAGGAATAACACGTGTAGCCTGTAGGTGGCCAGGGAGGGCTGGGCCAGTTTATAATAAAAAAAAGCATGAAAAAGTGCATTTTTTTTTTCAACTGTAAAAGCAGCAATTAATGTCCATTGTATGATTCAGCTACTGCCATTCGTGTTCCAAGTCGAAAAACAAAAAACGCTCCCCATATGAATGGAGTCCTTACCAGAATCTACGGATCCACAAACAAAAAGTAAAAGTAAATAAATAAATGAGTGCAAAAATCACAAATTGTCACATCTAGGTTGAACCACACACACACACATTACAGTTGAATAAGTCGGGTAGAATACTAGAAAAACCCATTGAAGTTTGTATCCACATAACAAACATCTCATCTCAATGGTGAGATTTGTAGTGCATAAATATCAAAAGGATGTTTTTCAATTTCGATACATTGTTGGGTTCTTTTCTCTTGTTGCAATTACTCTGACATCTGAACCTCCACGGTATTTTTTCCGTAATTAAACCATAATCATATAGAGGGGGAAGTCTGGAAAACCAAAAGAATGCTGACCTTGATAAAATGCTACCATGTGAATGAAGGAAGAACATATGTCGGATAAGCATCGTATTTTTTGACGAGAGAATGAAGAGAAGAATCATCTGCAGTTTGTCCGAATGTACTCAGTCCAAGTTCAGTTGCGTGGACCCCACCGGTGATGAAGGCCGAAGCTATACCAGCAATGTTTGCTCCTTTAATGTCGTGGTGGAGTGAATCGCCAACAGCAATGCAATCGGCGGCTTCCACGCCAGCCATTTCCATGGCCGAATTATATATAATCTGTAAAATTACCACTAATGTCACGACCTTTTTCGAAATTGCAATTTAATCACGACCTTTTTATTCACATTTGCAAATTATATCACAATCTTTAGTTTGTTACAGATCGATGTATGGGTTCTGAACACCGGCCCTAAAAAAGCTGACGTGGTGGTCGAAGAATAAACTGAAGATTGTGATATAGTTTGCATGGGTTCTGCAAACCGGTGCACCGATTTTCAACTGAAGATTGTGATATAATTTGCAAAACTAAAAAGATCATTGGAATTTCGGAAAAATAATTCATCTGGTTTGGACGTGAAGAATGGAAAAAATGACAAGGTGGAAAGAATCAAACTGCTATTCATGGCTCCATTTTAACAGGTTCCTCAAAGTCTCAAACGTCAAGTTTTAACTGAAACATCGATAGGAACAACTGAAGAAATGCACACAAACAGACACTCACTCACACAACCGAAGAATGGAACTAGCCGCAGTAGAATTAAATTTACCTCGCCCGGTTTGCCCATCCACTTCACTTCTCCACCTAGCTTCTCATATGTTGCTGCCAATGTTCCTTTTTTTTTTAAGAAAAGAAATAAGTCATGAGCTGAAATTTTAAATAGTGATAAGACAGAGACATTTCATAGATAAGTCTTCACCAGGCATCACACGTAGAGCTCTAGCCTCAACAGTAACAAAATCCGGATTTGCAACGACCATGGGAATCTTTTTAGCAGCACATTGCCCCAAAATTTCGTTAAGTTCGTCGAGTGTCTTTTGGAGTGCATGTCCAGATGAAAGCCCCAAAGCTTCAGTTCCATGAGCCAAAACAAACTCAGCTTCTTCGACATTATTCACAACCTGGAGCCCTAAGCCCTGAAGCAAGACATTTTCGCTCCAAAATATATTACAGATATTTCGGAAGGGTTTGAGAAAATTAGAGATACTAGAAATGGAAAATCAAAGCATCGAGCAGCCCTTATTACATTGCAGCTTTTGATTGTTAGATAACCAAGTTTGTCTTAGATGTAACAACTCGACAATTCACATTCTAAATTTTATTCAGAGATATAGAAAGTTCCGCACATGTAGTTCAATAAATTCGGGAATGTGAAAGTGCAAGCTTTATATTTGCTTATCAATTTCTTCATTGTCATATTTCAGAAAACACAAGAGCAAATACATTTTTTCTAAAATGGCAAAGTTAAGGCTGCTTTAATAGCATACCTCAAGAGATATAGCACCTCGATCATTCCAGGTCATGTGAATGCAAGAGCTCCCAAGACCAGCAAACCATGGATCATCTCTCCTGTCCAGAACATGTTCAATGAAACTGATTGTATTAGAAAAAGAATCAAACTAGTTTTCCAACTAATGAACACACATAAGCTTACTTTCATTCTCCAATTGACAACTGTTTCCAATAAATGCTATATAAATCCAGACATTGTGGATGTGTATCAATGGTTGAAAAGCTACTAAATCTGAAGAATTAAAAATAAAAAAGGGAAAAAATTTTTTAACCTCCCAAAGTATGCTGTTTTTTTAACTTTGCCATATAAACTTTTCTTTTTGACAATTTGCCTCCCAATGTAATCGAAACTGACAGTTTGCCTCCTCGATTGAAAACCCTAATATGGTACAAAAGAGTTTTTAACTCAATTAATGATGAATTTTAAATTAATCTTTAAAATTGATTGAGGACTTTTAAAGCCCATGACGAGACGAACAAAATGAGGTATGATTTGTCGATTTCTGAAAATTGATACCTCTAAAATCGATCCACGAAGATAGCAGGAGCACGTATGTATAGAAAAAATTTCAATTCAAGTTTTCTGGTAATCAAGATATCCGATTTTCGATTGAGAGGTGTCATTTGAAAGCTTGAAGGACGAGTTTTCTATCGAAGTAAATCTTATGAAAATCCAACGGTCGGATTTTGGTTAGTAGCCTAAAAAAAAGCTAACTATTGATCAATAGTTTTCTAAATACTGATCAAAATCCGACCGTTGGATTTTCATAAGATTTACGTGTTGGAAAATTGGTCCTACTAGCTTTCAAATGACATCTCCCAATCGAAAATCGGATATTTTGATTGTCAGAAAACTTGAATTAAAATTTTTTCTATATACACGTGCTCCTACTATCTTCTTGGATCGATTATAGAGGTATCAATTTTCAGAATTCGACATATTATACCTCATTTTGTTCGTCTCGCCATGGGCTTTAAAAGCCCTAAATCAATTTTAAAGATTAGTTTAAAATTCATCATTAATTGAGTTAAAAACTCTTTTGTGCCATATTAGGGTTTTCAATCGAGGAGGCAAACTGTCAGTATCGATTACATTGGGAGGCAAATTGTCAAAAAAAAAAGTTTATATGGCAAAGTCAAAAAAACGACATACTTTGGGAGGTTAAAAAAAATTTTCCCAATAAAAAATGTAGATGACTTGTGTCACAGATGAACAGCGACCTGGTTTACTTAAATTTTATGACATGATAATTCAGTAAAAAGAGAATACCAAATTAAAGCTTAACATATCTGTCACAACCCACATTTGAAGAAATCACAAAATCAACCAGAACAAATAACTATCACTATTAGTAAATTTTGGATGTTTGAAAAAGGTATTCTGATAAATCTAATTCTCAAATCTTTCTCCAGCGGCCCTAGTTCTCAGAATGGAAGTTAATACCTTTAAACTTAAGAACACGAAGGGACAAATATAAGAAAATCAAAATAAAATAAAATAAGTAATGACAGACTTCTAAACTTATCAAGGAATCAACTAGGACACTTACAGGTTAAAAAGGTGATTACGCAGCGGACAATAATAAAACAAGTTAGCGTTGACTAGGAGTCATTACAAAGTACAAACTTAGATATTTGGGAAAAAACAGCAATGTTGTCATAAAGAACAGCACTCAAGAAAACGTACAACAATAGTAAATTATGTGCTCGCTCATGTTAGTTCAGAAGAAATCAACAATTTCAACAAAGTGCACTATGAGAATTAGTATTTGTCTTTATACAACTATTTCCAATTATATACAAGATTCTCTACATTTGGCTCTTTAAAATTACAAGCAAACTAAATAATCAGAATTTAAGGAAAAACTAACCTCAGTAGGTACTGGTGTGTTAACTCCCCACTGGTTATAGCTCCCAGAAAGAGAGAGGGATTAAACCCAAGGCTACTCAACTTTTCAATGGTTGTTGATGCACGCCTTGAGGAGTTACTTATGACTACCATCTTTGCACCAGAATTCGCCAACTTCTCCACTGTATTCCATGCATAAAACACAGGCATCCACAAAATCTTAGTCGAAGTTCACATCAAAATACCTGCGCGTATGTTTGACCAAAACAACTGATCAGCTCACTAAAATGCGAAAGGTAATAGTTGAAAACATACATGTGGTGATGGCACCCGGATATGGCTGTTTCCCATCGTGTAAGACCCCAAACTGATCCAACAGCCATGCCTGCATTCACAAATGATGGTCTAATAATTGAAAACAAGACAATTGCACGAGTGTAACCAAAATTAGAGATAACTGGACTTTAGGATTGAAACCCACAGACTGTTTTTGTCCCAAATTTTGCATTTTAGCTCAATATTGGAAATTGATCACATAATTTGTAATCAATTGTTGCATCTTTAGGCCCAAAAGTGTGAGAACCAAAAGCCTTCCTGTGGGACCAAAAAGAGCAAAAAATAATATTCTGGCGGGAGAAAAATTGCGCAAAAATCCTTCTAATGGACCAAAATGCAAAGAAAACCTCAATGTTATCGAACCAAAGTGCTGGGCCCTCAATCTTGTTCGTTTCAAACTGCATTTTCTTGTACTTGTAACAATACAACTTGACAATCAATAAATGTAGGCAATAAATAAAGAAAAAAACAAGGATTCATTCAAGGATTCAACCATCACATATTCACATGCCAATTGTTTGCCAAAAGTAGTCTAATTTGAAAAGGCAAGAAGCAAACCCCAACTGAGGTGCACAAAAAAAACTCAAACAAAGCATTACACATTCCATCACCCACTGTACTAAAGCTAATTTATCTGATTCACGCGTCCCAGAACTGAACAGCATCAATCATTTACCATCACTCAACTAAAGCTATCAGGCAGCTAACCAATTACCGACTGTATCACAAAGAATTCCTAACTGTGAAGCTTATGACAATCAAATCAATTCTACAGAGCTTGAATGAAAATCGAACTCAATGGAAACAACAAGGAAAACAAAAACACCAAAATCAGCTGCTAATAATAACAATAAGAAACTAAGCATTGCCTTGAATCGGCGACCTTCAGCGACGTGCTGCAAGCCGGTGACAGCCTGACACTTATTCAATTCGCTCGCGTTTGGAGACGGGGCCGAGGCGAAGCATCTTCCCATCATCTCGGATGCTTTTTGCGCGTGTTTGGAGTGTGTAAATTCGTGGGAGAAGTAAAAATCGAGCTCGCCTTTTTTCACGCATAGTGGCAATAATGTGTTGTGTTGCTAACAAATAAACCATAGTTTTCAACATATTTTTAATTTTAAAAATATAGACAGTAATTACTAATTAGTTGGAAAATAGCCACTTTTTTCCCGCTTCTTTTTTTTATTTACCTTACAAGAGTACCCATCCTCGAGCTCTCACGCATAACACACACCTTCTGGAGACGACGAACAATCACTTGCTTCTATCAGGTGAATTTTTCCTCTTTTTTTCTTTTTCATAAGCCCTGTGCGTGTAAATTGTATTCATTGTTCAGTCATCCCAGTTTTTGGACTTTCGAACTTGTTATTTGTGCTTGGTATCCATTTTCGTATGCAAGTTTTTCTGTATGTTTCTATTGATCGGAAAAATTGCTGCAATTTTTTGATATTTCAATACTATATGCAATTTTTGCTGTATGTGCATATAGGCTTATATGTCTCAACATCTCCATGTTGGCCTTTTGAAAAATTGCTTGCTATGGATCTGTTGGCTTGTACTAAGACTTGCTCAGTTTAAGTTAGGTGTTAGCTGAAGTTTTGCGTTATTCGATTGCTTCAGTGACCTCTGTCATCAACTAGGAGAAAGTAGCTGAGTTGATTTGAGATGTTATTATGTGAGTCTTAACCTTCAGTAAACAGTTCTTTTGAGTCGAAAATGTACTCATTCTGGCTTAATTGTTTGGTGATTATATCCTGGCCTAGTACTAGCTCTTGTGTTTTTTTGAGAAGTTATCTTTCTTTGAACTCTTTGAATTTGTATGTACTTCATGAATTAGTCTATTTTTCGGTGGCGGGTGTTGAAAGCAAATGATTTCGGCCGTTTGCAGAAACTTTAACAATGGATGATGTGGCAATTCAAGAAGGCGACAGATGGATAGTGGTTGCTGCGTGTGGGTCTGATTCGGTTAGACATTTGCGTGAGCTCTGTGAACATCTGCGTGGTTTAGGGCAATTGGGCCATAATCCGGTTAATGTTGCGGTTGTGTGTACAAAATCTGCTCTACAAAGCCTTAACTGGCCTCCTGTTTCTGCATGTGGGTTCAAGTTTTACACAGACGATGAGCTCTTGAAATCTATGGGTCCCGACAAGTTAGAGTTCCCCCCCTTCTTTGGGACCCTTTGGTATCAAGCGGCTTGCTTAGTCGTTGCCCCATTATCGGCAAATACAATGGCTAAGGCATGTCGAATTTTTTTTTTTTTTTTTCATTTAATGACTTAGTTTCAGGCTTGTTATGTTTTACTCGGCTTGTTTAGGTATCAAATGGGCTGTGCGACAACCTGCTGACATCTTTTATAAAATCGTGGCCTTGCGAAGGGGAACTACGCAGGCCCATTATCTTCTGCCCGGACGTGGGGGAAGGCATGTGGGCCCACCCGGTAACTCAACAACAGGTCGACACGTTGCAGGAATGGGGTTTCGTTGTAAAGCCCAAAGGCAGTGGCTTGATGGCCGATGTCGAGATTATTGCTCGACTTGTGGGGCAAGTCATGGGATGGAATGATTGATGGCTGTAATTACTGATCGAGAGTTATGTTTGTTTTGCTAATTGCTGTTAGTATGCTCTTTTGTGATCTTTATTTTTCTTTTTTTTTTTTTAATTCCTCTTTTTGCAATTGTGTCTGCATTGGTAGGAGATGAATGTACCAGTGTTTTAGTGCAGCTAAAGTTGTTTGAGGAAGATGGTATTCTGTAGAGGACCTGAAACTTTGATGCCAGTTATTTCTTTATGCAGTTAAATGCTATTTCTTTGAACAGTCCAATGCAACTTCTTTTATGTCTACTCTTTGAATAGTTAAAGGCAAGGATATGTCTTGAGTCGAGCTGCGATGGCTCAATGCTCAATGTACGACTAGTTGACTCTATGAGTCATCTCAAGCAGAGCTATCTAAACCGGATGGGAGAATCTTCGGATTATGGGTTGGATTAAAATGAGTGAGCAGTAAGTTCACTGCTTTTGGTCCCAAATCAGATGCATTTGGAACTTGGCATCATACTGTAATAGGTAAATTTCCATATAACTTTTCAGATTGTTAAGTTCTGAAGTCACCTTTTTTCATAAAGCAGCTAGCAGAACAAATGTGAGTGTATTTATTTGCATTACTGCCTAGTGAACATTCCACGGTTCCAAGAAGTGTCCAAGATCTTAAAGAACTTCTCTCGGTCAATCACAGATAATTCCTCAATAAAAACCATAGTTCTAAAGCATGAGGTATAGCTACTTGCAGCATCCCCGGAAATGGTCAAATTTATATTTGCCTAGTTGCATAAACCACCCCCAGTTTGGTCTGGTTACAAAACAATCCAGTTATCTTTCCAAATTACTAATTTATCAGTAATGGGGAGTATTCTTGATTTGATATAGCTGTCAAAGTGGCTAGAGAAACTACGAAAGATAAATGGAATTTTTGTAATAGGCTGGCCATGGATATTTTTTTAATCGAAAAAACTTGTGCCCTATCTTCTCCATCCAAGCACGCAAACAAATGCACGCAAATAGTTGTGTATATCTAGAACAACATACATCTATTCCACGACATATACGGAAATATTACACATTTCCTTACAAGAATTCACAGTTCTTTCTATGAGAACAGAATTAGCACATAAACCTGTACAAAACCTCATAACCAACAACTCCACCAAGTCTTTATAATACCTCTTCAGCTCTTCTCAAGGTAAAAACTTTTCTCCCGAATTCATCAAGATTTCTCAATCGCTAAATGTACTCCGATTTCGAAACTTCAGCATGTTTACCTACCTCACTTAAACCCGCACGGTATTAGCAAGACTATAAATTCAGCCCTCACCCCAGTTCATGAATGCTGCTACATCACCAGCAATGTCCTCTGGTGGAGCCATCACATTGTTAGTTGCCGGGTGACCGAACTTTGCTCCCCAACTCTGCAATGTAGCCACATGTTCTTGTGTGGTTGGGTGAATCCACATTATCGGTTGAACTTCTGGAAAGAGGATCACTGTTTTGGAATTCACACCGACCCAAGGCCAAGCCCTCATGATACACGTCAGTAGATTGTCGCACATTCCAATGGCTGCCTGTTGGGAAAAACATGTGAGAATAGTAGCAAAGCTAACCAACTAACTTCCGAGCAATTAGTAACCAGGAGTAATGATAATGTCTAATCACCGATGACTTACAAGAAAATCATTTAACGTAAGCATGCAGGACAGGAGAAAAGAAAACAATATAAAGAACGAAAAAAAATCGAAAGCTATAGAATGTATAAAAACACGTTTCGATGTAAAAAAAAGGAATGATCTAGCTAAATAATTTGGTAGACATCAGTTGATCAAGAATGTAGTTTATGAAACCAATGTTATCTATCAACAAATAAAACAGAAGCTCATCAATCTCACTGTTACAAGTTACAAGGCATGTGTATTCAAACGGTCGAACGAATGCATCATGTGCGCAAAGTTCGCGCCGTATTCCCGAAACAACATTCCAGTATATCCAGCATTATTACCATACTTTTTGGAAGGTATTACCTGTCAGCCTCTAAAATAGCATGATTGAACTACTCAACAGGTTTAAGCTCTGCATCTTCTCTTTAAATGCAAATAGAAAGTAAAAAACAGTTTCCATCTCCAATCTGAGCACATAGTATACAAGAAGGGGGATTTATATCAGCTCCCAACAGCACTTCAAATAAACATAACAACACTAACTTAAAAATTGACACGTAAAACAGCATATAAAGAACTCTTCATAACCACATACAGCAGAACATGTGCATAATGTATTTGATACTTCACCTATCAGTCACAACAACGGTTCGGTGATTTTCAGCCTAGCCATCTCAAGCCCTTAGGCACCCTTTCTAAAAAAAATCATGCACACACACACACAAACATATGAATCCGAAAACCAAGACGAGGATGCAAGATACCTTGGACAGTGTATTTGCAGATAAGGGCGCAATAACAAGAACATCTGCCTCCTTTACAAGTGTTGTGTATAAGGGATTTGGGCCGTGCAGATTAAGAAACTTCCAGAACTCCTCATCTGTGTATATTTGAAGCTGCATCGCCAGCTTGGTCCGGTCGATAAAGCGCAAGGCAGATTCAGTTAGCACCACCTTAATACAAACCTTATTGTTTTTCAGAGCACGCAGACTGTTACAGATATCCATGACCTTGCCAGCTGATACACCTCCGCACACGCCTAACAGAACATGCCTTTCTACAACCTCACCTTCTTTTTCTGCAGACTCTTCATTTCGACTCTCTCTGTCGTCCATGCTGGCGTCTTCCTGGTTCTCCATTTCTATTCCATATTCGTCCTCAGGTACGTATTCATCATGAACATCATTCATATTCTCTCCGAATTGTTCGTATTGCTCCATGTCGTTGTTCTCAGGACTGGACTCATCACTCAAAACCTCATACCCAACATTCAAAGGAAAAGACATCTGCATGAAACACACACACACACACACAAATGAGAGGGAGATTTTGCAATCGAGCTGCAATTTCATGAACAAAATCACAATTTACAGAACAAGAAAGAATGCAGTAGAAATCCCATTTATCCATCTAAACAGAATTTTGAGAATATTTTAATTGATTACCTCTAACTCACTTTACACACTTGCCACAGAGTGTCTGTCATCGACAAATGCAAAAATTCCCAAATCAGAAAAGCAGTCAAGTGGAAACTCTATTTTAATCAAATCTACGCAGGATTTTGAAAGAAATGCCAGAAACTACTGCAAGAATCAGTAACAAACTCATGGAAGAAACCTAAGTATTACAAACCAGCACAAAATTTCCCAAAACAGAAACGCAATCAATTTCAAACTTCCATCTATCGTTCCAAAACTACAGCGATTGGAAACACTTAGAAAATCACGAAAGAATCATAAGAATTGTCATACAAACACAAGATTTGGGATAGAATGGAACCTGCTAAATCTGAAATTTCACAAAAGGAGACGCACAAAATGACTGCAAATTCGAAAATACAGCACACGTTTCAAATACGCTGCGAAAATCCAACAAATTCTAACAAATTAAACGAAGATCAACTGCAAATAGATACCTGAAGTGTTGTAGCGAGGAAAGGCGATTCGCTTGTCGTTTCTGAGAGAATTTGAAGAGTGGTGACAGCGGGAAAATATAACCAGTTTAACACCCAACTAAAATGAAAGCAAATTATATACCGGGGCAAATGTGTAAAATTTTGGAAAAATCGATTGGATCTCTTGCGTTAATCACAAGTTTGGCGTTTAATTGGAAGATTGGATTTTTTTTTTTTACTGGTGGCATAGTTTTTTATCCAACTATTATTAAATATAAATTTTTAATTCAAATTAAATTATCTCAATACTATCAATATAATTAAAAATAATCAAATTAATCACTTTTAAGTGTTCGGAGCAGAAAAGCCCATTGAAAAATTACCGAGTTTAAACTCATTAGACGAAATATAGATATATTATCGTTGGATAATTACTGTATTTGAATATATTTACTAGTACAGTTTATGTATGTTTTGATTTATATAATGTAATTTGTAAATTATGTATGATAATATAAATATATTTATTTTACGACTTCACCTAAGCGTCCTATGCGCCAAGACCTAGTTTGACGACCAGCGAGCGTCTAATGACTGCATAACTTAGATTAAAAGATGACACGTGATAAACAATTGGTTAAATAAATAATATTGGCACCATGATTTCTAAACATATATGTATGATTTCACATTTTTATGATTAAAAAATAACATAAATAAGTATATAATATTTCAATATTTATATAAAAATTATATAATTTTATTTAAAAAATAATGCGAATAGCCTCGTCTAATAACTAGGTTGCATCACAACAATATTTGTGAAATAATAAACAAAATGGTATTTCATATGTACTACTTTATTAATAGCACAAATGATGGTAAGAGTGGGTCTAACCGTTATGGTGGGTAAATTCATTGTACAATTTGACCATAAATGCATATTTATATTATAAAATGCCATACTTCAATTTACATTATTTTTAAAGTATTATATTTCCTAGAGAAAGTAAGCAAACCTATATTAAAATAAAATATCGATCTAATGATTAGGTCAATTTAACACAAAACCAACATTATTAGTCAATATTGTCATACACCTCCTTAGATGTGAGCTGTTAAATTAAATTTACCCCGACACATCAAGCACAGTGTCAATATGGTAACCTTTACCCGCGGGTCACTTGCTGTTAGATGCCATTGGTTCTAGCTCAATTTTGACCCTGAATAGCACTTTGATACATTCGACGTTATAGTTTAATGCAATAGTGAAATTTGTGTGGTATAGATAACTTTTTAAGCTAATTTGATATTAAATGTTCTATACATTTACCATATATTGAAATTACTCGTTCAGTCATTGACTTCACTAAAACTGAAGAATGAAACTTCAAAAAACCTCGTACCATTCTATTGTCTGGATGAAACCTCAAACGTCCAATAAAATATTGACCCTTGCTTTCAAGGCAATTGCCTAAGTTAAAAAAAAAAATCTGTCCACCGTATCCAAAGAAAGCATCATTATTGAGAAAATGACAAGGTATTGAACCAAGCATATGTACCGATCCCATATTGGGGAAAACCGATCCAAACTCAATCCTATTTTTCCTGGTGTTACACAGTTAACAGAATTGGTCGTGGGACGAGTCACGCAGACAGTTAAAATGCAGCTATTTTTTCGAATTTATATCTATTTATCGAGCAGAAAAATGTTGTCATCCATCATATACTTCTGGCGCCAGGATTGCCCGGACATACATCCTGTGAATATTTTTCCTCTACAAAATCTTCTGACTGCTTCTTAACCGGCTACTTTTTCTCAAGTCTGATTATCTAAGGCATTCAAAATCAGTTGGCAATAATAGCACTGGAAAAAGAGGGAAAGAAAAAGGTATGTGGACAAGTTGTTAGCTAATGCTGCAATAAATATATATTACATACCCAGTCAACAACTTATTGGACGACTTGCGGCTTTTGTTTGCCGCGATAAGTTTCCGAGTTTTGTTAGACTGAAGGCTGCACTGGCTGCTGATGTGCAGGCTAACCAAGATAACTCATAAATCAGTCAAGTAATAACAGACATAAAGAAAAATGAGATCCGCAATTAACGAGAATTCATGCATACATACAAGTACAACGCATACCTACACAGCAACTTATTAGTTGACTTGGACCTTTTGTTTGCTGGTTGAAATTCAGGCATTCCTACAGGCTCATAACTGCTAATGCATAGGCAGACAATAAAAATGAGGCACTCAAAGATGAGTGAAAATAACAGCCGTGAAGGAACTATGTGTATGAACTAGCTAAAAGGGTCTATGCAATCCCCATATGAGAAATTCATGCATACCCCACACACACACACACANAAATCATGCATACCCCTCATCCAAAAAGACAGTTGCTTCTCTCCTTTCGATGATACTGATTGGGTCTGGTCTGGGACGTGCGTTTTCCCTATTTCCAGTTTTAAGTTTGACGATCTTCTTGAGTTGTGGGGTTCCTGTAGGTGAGATAGACGCTGTTGGGGGATTAGGACGGCCCACAAGAGACAGGGCTCGGAATTGCGAATCTAATCCTGAAGCTGAAGGGCCACCCGGTCTCTTCTTGCTCGATTGCTTCTTGACTGCATTCTCAGTTCTAATAGCACGTGTACACGAAAAAGTGCATTCAAAGTCATTATGACATGTATCATGCAGAAATCAACTAGCCAGTGCAAGTAATACGGAAAATTTATATACCTCTGGGGCAAGAATTTAGTCAACTCTAACCATATGTTTCTGTAAACTTGATGAGTGCAGAGCAAAGCTCGTTCCTCATCCTCTACCGATTCTTCATTATTTTTGTTGGAACAACGATGATTGAGCCACCTGAAAATCGAGTAGCATAAAAACACATAAAATAAAACCGCAAATACATAATATGAACATGTTTTAGGTACATGACTTCTTGGTAAGTGTTAACTGCATTCTTGGAAAGAATTGAATAGTGTACAAAGCAACAGTGTCAAGTGTCGTTATCGTGACTATTTAGCTATTTAGAATAGCATTAATACAAACTACTGAGTGCACAAGAAAAATTACCTCTCTCGACACTGTTTTCCGGTGCATCCAGGAATTTTTACTGCCATACCAGACCACCACTTCTGACCATACGTGTTGACCAATTCAACTATATATTTATCCTCCTAATCATGCATATTGAAACATGAAAGATACATTTAGAATAGGGCTCTGTTGAAAAAAAAATGGAGATATACGAATGACAAAATGCAATATCCTCAAACAATCATTTTCTAACCTCTTTTGGAAAGGGACCGCTGATGATTTCATCTGCTTGAACCTTGAGACACTCCACTAGATACAGCATAACACACGAATAAATTTGCATGCATATTTATTTCGAGCCATTTATTATTAGTTTAATAGTTGTAGATAATAGAGGCACAGATATTTGCGTCCTTCAGAAGAGACACAGAAACCAGAGGACACATTAAGTCGCTAACAATTACATAGCACAAAGTCCTAATTTCAATTCTGTACCTATTTCTTTCCAATTTCTCTCCGTGAATTGTCGAATGATCCATATCAACTTCTCAGCCTGTGCGACAAAAGCAAAGCGATAACAATAGAATCACAATTTTGACACACTACACATTGGATGATTATAAATATAATAGTTCCAATATTGTGACTATCCACGTAATATGACTAGACCAAAACCAAGCCAGCCAGCAGATTGCACTTTCACAAGGGGAATCTGGATTAACACAGTTGTCGAAATTTTACAGAGAAGTCATATGACATTCAGTCAACCATAATCAGATTACTGCATGAACTAACTATTTTGTTTGGTCAATTTATTAAATCAAAACAAACCTAAATACATTTGCTAGCCAATATTTGCATCTTAACCATGATAATAGGCTAATAGAATCCAAATATACTCAAAGCAAAAGGTAAACGTATGCAAACACATATATTTACAACTACATTTAAGATTTCAATCACCTGTTCTTCCCTCAACGGTCCTGGCTCAGGAGGCCATATCACATAACCAGTGGTCCTGCAACAACAAACGTGACGCGAACCACTTTACAGTCGAAAAAATTTACGAAAAACAACTATGAAAGCCCGATTAAAAAAGATTTCCTGAGCTAGGCTCATATTCACGTAGCTTTTCATGCTCCAACAACAAAATATCAAATGAACATATGAGAAATTGAGTAAATCAAGCTTGAAGAATTCCAATCGCACACACATACACGCACCTCCGAAACAATCTGATTACAGTGGAAGCCAGTAAACAGGTGCAGGGGCAGTGAGCAAGCAGTTGATCGTCGCATGGCCGACTCTTTTGGTCGCCCAAATTTTCCATGGTCGCCGATGAGTCGGTTGTGGTTCGAACTTCAAAGTGGTGGTGTTAGGGGAGCAATTTATGTGTATTTATAGCAGTTGTTTTGTAGCAGGGGCCCGGCTCATGGGCCTTCATGACCCGCAGTTGGGTCGCGGCGGCCCAAAATATGGGCCACCAGCCTGAACGCTCGAGTCCGTCTGCGTGCAGTCGAGAGGTGGGCCCATCGTCCGTCGAGGCCCGCCCGGTTTGCCATTTACATCTTTTTATTATCAACGGTCTAGATGAGTCCAATCTTTTAAAATTGTTTATTGCTTTTTATAAAATTCAGATTAATAAACATAGTTCAAATTGAATTAATAGTAAACTAGTACGTAATCCGTGCGATGCACGGGATGTAAAATTTGGAAGAATAATATAACCTCACGTGCATTAGGATCGAAATTGAAATCATTAAAATACATAGGAACATTGTTGAATCATAAAAAGTTCGGTAACAATCATATATTATTAAAAACCTCCTTGTACACAACATTATGAGTTTGATTATTTGGTAACTCCTCATTATCACAAACTAATATTCTCAAAAGAGATAAATCCTAAAAATCAAACTAATATTTTTGGTGAACAAACTAATATTTTAGGATTGGTGAACAAACTAATATTTTAGGATTGGTGAACAAACTAATATTTTAGGATTTCTAGGATTTGTCTCTTTTTGGTGAATAAACTAATATTTTAGGATTGATTATATAAATAAAGCTACATGTTTTTGGTGTTCTTTTCATTCATTTTCATTCAAACAATCTGATGACTTGTATAATGAAATGCGAATCTTAAGCCGAAATATTTAAAAAAAGAGTTTTTAAAAAATGAAAAGTCAAGGCAATCAGTTCAAATTTATTAAAGGTCAAAGAATATCCGCTCCTTGAAATAAAGACGTGTGCTATCATTAACCAAATATCCGGTTATTGATATAGAGTGATTACCAAAAAATAGAACGCGATAAGGACGCTTCATGGAAATATCAATGGAATAAGGTCATAACAGATCGCTATACATTTTGACGATAAAAGCTCAGATAAAATGATTTATGATAATTATGTCATAATTAATGAATTAATTTGATGTGTGAAAATAACATAATTAATGAGAAGTGTGAAAAAGACATAATTAATGAGAAGTGTGAAAAGGACAAAAACTTACCAGTTTTGGAAAATATTTAATGCAAATCCGACATTGACCATAATTTGACCTACTATTTTGGATATTAATTCTTATTATATAAGTATAGATAAATTCATTAATAATAATATATCTATAACTAAAAAGTCATTTCCCATATTCTTTTATATTATTTTTGGAAAATAAAAATGAAATTCAAAATTCCATTAAAAACAGAGGGAACTGGCTATTTGGCAAATTATTAACTATATACAAACAAGAATAAAATTCATATTTTCTCCACGTTCACAAACTCACAACATTATGCTGATTATTCCAATTTCATCAAATTATTTCAAAAATGAATTCCTCCTTCAATGCGTCAGATTCCTCAAACTTAATAATACAATGAAATTTGTTCTATGTATCTTTTAACGTAGGTGTTTTTTTGTTATCTTATGATTTAGGATTTTAAATTATGTAAACACTGAAAAATTAAAGAGAAGTTGTTCTATTTTAAAATTATTTTGTTGTCTAATATTATAATTAAGTGAAAGAAATAGGAAAAAACAAAATATAACAATTTCTACATTTTCCTTGAAAGTGCTCCCATCACACACTGCACTAAATTGATCACCATTATACATGCTCTAACTCAAAAACGGGGAGCTCGAGTTCGGCTCATAAGACTCAAGTTGGTTTGTTAATATTGATAAAAACGAGTCTAGCTCGGTTTATCACTCCTTGATGTGCTGCATCTTCTGACAGGCTGATTCCTTAGTTGGCTCGTTAATATTGAAAAGTTACGCATCAATTACTTGCGACCATAATTAATGAGCTGCATCTTCTAACGGCTGATTCCTGTGTACTTCATACCAAGGCAGTAGTAACTTACTCCTCGACTTGGACCTTTTTGTTGCTAGAATTTGTACTGGTTCACGACTAATACTGCTTTGTGTTGCATCTTTTTTCATACCAAGGCAGTACCTTATTCCTCGACTCGGGCCTTTTTGTTGCTGGAATTCGTACGGGCCCACTTCTGTTTCAACATATTACGAATATTTAGAACGAGCTCAATAAAGCCTTCAGCAATTAATGAATGATCTAACACACATATATACACACACACAATCATACCTTCCAGGCAAGACCTTAGACGAGATATATATTGTTGGGCCATTATGAAGGCCCACAAGAGACGGGCAATGAAACTGTGAATCTAGTCCTGAAGCCGAAAGTGGACCCAATCTCTCCTTGCCAGGAAAAGTAGAAGTACCCCAATGCTTCTTGACGACACTCTTAGCTCTAGCAGAGCATGTGTAGACAACAAACAAACGCGCAGTCAAGATCGATTTGGACAAAAATCGTGCGCGAACAAGCTAGAAAAGTACCTCGTGGGCAAGGATTTGGTCAGCTTCATCCATATGTTTCTGTAAACTTTATGGATGTTGATCATATTTCCATTCAACAGCCTACTAACCAACAATGTCAAATTCAAATCAAAGATCATTTATCTACTTTGAATAATTTTTTTATAAAAATAAAATATTCAGAAATCCACGAGCATGATTTTTTGATATTTCAACTAGGAGAACCTGCAAGATTACCTTTCTTGACATTGTTTTCCAGAGCATTCAGGAATGCTTACTGCCATATAGGGGGGCCACCACTTCTTACCATATAACTTTACTAATCCAACTACAATTTTGTCCTCCTAATCATGCATTAAAAAGTGGCATTTGATAGAAAAAAAAAATAAAAATTTGAAGGAAATAGACAAATAGTAAATGAGATATCCATAAAGAATCATTTTTTCTAACCTCTTTTGGAAAGGGAGGGATGGTGATTTCATTTGCTTTAACCTTGAGACACCACACTGGATACAACATAACATACACAACAAAATTTATGCATGATTGATCCAATCAACATGGTGCATCATCTTGAACTATTAACCATTAATTTATAACGATTTTTGGAAGGTCAGTAGTTGACAACAAGAAAACAATTAATGAAACAAAACAACCTTTAGACGTGAAAATAACTTGGTAACCCAAAAACATGAAGTTACCACCAACAACAACAACAACATAGCCTTTAGTCCCAAGCAAGTCGGGGTAGACTAGAGATGAAACCCAAGAGAAACACAAAAAGACTCGAACCAAAAAGGAAGAGATCGAAAAAAAAAAGGAGAGAGAGAGAGGGAGAGAGAGAGAGAGAGAGAAAGGAGCAAAAGTCACGGTTCCGGCACGTTGATAGCGAGCCTCCAAGCGCTCCTATCCACCGCTAAATCCTTGGAGATATTTCAATCTTTAAGGTCTCTCTTAACCGACTCTTCCCAAGTGAGTTTAGGTCGACCTCTGCCTCTCTTAGCATCCTCGACCCGCTGTAGAACTCCCCTACGCACCGGTGCATCAGGAGGCCTCCGTTGGACATGTCCGAACCACCTCAGCCGATGTTGAACCACCTCAGCAAAAACATGAAGTTACCACCAATTAAAGAAAACAAAGGCCTAAATTCAGATTTCCACCTATATCTTCACAGTTTCTCTCCATGAATTGTTGAACAGCCACCATCAACTTATCCCAAATCTGACTCAGGTTAACCCAAAAATTATTTTAACCAAAAATAACTTTGGTGCGATTCAGGTTCGAACTTATCCCAAATTTGGTGTTTGTACGGTAATGGCTAATTTTCTATCTCGAGTTTGTAAGTGTTTCCAATGGTAATCAATGGCATTTGTTTGGAAGATAGATAGGAGTTTGAGATTGATCGCAGTTGATTACATTTTTTATTTTTAAAAATTGTGATTCTGTTCAAACAATGACTTTTTGTTCTTTTTCACGCATCTCTCTCTGTACCACATGACGAGTCTGATCCCGAGAATCTCAACAACATCGGGCAACAACAAGAACTTGTTGGTGCTGGTGGAGGATAGTCGAGAACGGGCACGGAAATGGTGTATCAGCAGAGGAGGCGCAGGTGAAGAAGGTGTCGTGGGTGAAGAAGTTGGGGTGGAGGCTGTCGCCAATGAAAATGAAGTTCATGTGGTAAGGCGTGTTGTGTTACGCAGATGAAGAGTTTTGGAAGTTCATTGGTCCGGAGAGCGTCATTCCACTTTCAAAATGAAGTTCCTGTGGTAAGGCGTGTTGTGTTAGGTCTTGGGTGAAGGTGTCGTGTTGTGCTAAGTCTATGATGTTCTTGTAAAGTGGAATGACGCTCTCCGGACCAATGAACTTCCAAAACTCTTCATCTGCGTAACACAACACGCCTTACCACATGAACTTCATTTTCATTGGCGACAGCCTCCACCCCAACTTCTTCACCCACGACACCTTCTTCACCTGCGCCTCCGTTCTCTGCTTATACACCATTTCCGTGTCCGTTCTCGACTATCCCTCCACCTAACACCAACAAGTTCTTGTTGTTGCCCGGTGTTGTTGTTATTCTCGGGATCAGACTCGTCATGTGGCACGGAGAAAGATGTCTGTGTGAAAAACAACAAAAACTCATTGTTTAAACAGAATCACAATTTTCAAAAATAAAAAATGTAATCAAGTGGAACCTCAATGTCGTGCTCAGGATCAAACTCTATAGCATCACTCCCGAAATCCATATCAATGACACCCAGTTGTTGTTGCCCAAAGCCATATCAATGACACCCAGTTGTTGTTGTCCAGTGTTGTTGTTCTCGGGGCCAGACTCATCACACGGCACTTCGTTCCAAACCGTCGTAAAAAAAGATGTCTGCGTGAAAAAGAACAAAAACTCATTGTTTGAACAAAATCACAATAAAAATAAAAACTGTAATCAACTGCAATCAATCTTAAACTCCTATCTATCTTTCCAAACAAATGCCATTGATTACCATTGGAAACACTTACAAACTCGAGATAGAAAATTAACCATTACGTACAAACACAAGATTTGGGATAAGATCGAACCTGAATCGCACCAAAGTTATTTTAACCCAACAACATGAAGTTACCACCAATTAAAGAAAACAAATTGACTTTTTTTTTATGTCTATGATATGATAAAAACTGAATTATTTGTTTCAATTAAACTAGCATAACAGAACAAAATAACTCGGCCATAAACAAAACTAAAAGGGGGGTTCAGCAAATTTTAAACACGACAAACCTCAACACATTCCAACAAACTCAATGATTCCAGCAAGCTTTTTAACTTCCACTTAAACTGAAACTAAACATCAAAATAACCACATAATCTCAGCCATCACTGAAACAAAACCAGCACTAATAACACGCCCCTTTTTCTCAAAGTTCAACCGAAAAAGCACATGCTCTTCAAACTGAAAAATAAGCACAAAAAAACATAGGATTTCGGCCAACAAAAGTACAAATGCAATATTTTCTCAACCCTAAATCTGTTTTTCAGAAAGCAAGATATCCAAAGTCCAACCTCACGACAGATACCCACAAATCATAACTGATCAAACTCACATCAAATTCCCAACAATTATCAATTCAAGACCCACCACAAAGGGATGCGAAGAAAATACTTTCATCAACTTGAACACTGAAAAACGATCAGCCAATGGATTACCGTGAAAATAGAGAAAGAAAGGTGTTCTGTTGGGACGGTTCTCGGCTCGAAATTGCTTCTGGGACTCGGAAAATATCTCCGGTCACCTGAGATGCTGCTGCTTTTCACTCTCCTGGATGCTCGTCTCAGCCACAGAAATGGTCAGGCCTCAACCGTGAGTTACTTCTCTCAACTGGTGGCTCTCGTCGGAATCGGGTTCGGGCAGGGGGAAGGTCGCGTGATTCCAGACGTCTGAAACCCGTTGGTGGTGCTGCTCTCGGTCGCCGGACTTAGGCACTCGGTGTGCTCGTCAGCCGCCGTGTCTGGGCTCGCCTCGCCGTCGGGAAGTGGTCAGCCTTCAAGGTTTGTCGCCGTCGGCAGAGACGAGTTAGTGGTATTGAGAGAGGAAATGAGAACTTGTGAGAGACGACGAGTGGGGTTAGGGATTTGGGCCATATGTTTTATTCGAATTTGGCCCAAGTGTTGGGCTAAGTGGGATACTTGTCTCGCTTTCATTTTTGTAAACCGGGCCAGCTCGCGACATTTGATGTCCAAAAACAGACATCGATCAAAATAACTGGAAAATTATGAACATATAATCGAAAATGACCAATTTTCAGATATAAACCGACTCTAGATTTTAGTTAAGACTAAATTTGTGCAACAACAATTGAAAATTTAAAATTTAAATAAAATATAATATTGTTTTTTCTCAAAATAATATTTAACTTTTCATACTATTTTCATTATAATACAGAATAAGACTAAGAAAAATATCGACAAATTTAAGTAAGTTTAAATAAAGAAAAAAAAAATATATTGACAGGTCGGCCTGGACCCGACCCGCCGGTCCAAAGGCCCAGAACCGATCAGGTCAAACTATGGACACGGTTCTGGGCCTGTTGACGACGGGCCAGTTCTGGGACAATTCGATCAGTTTGAGTCGAACTGGCGGGCTGGGCCGGTCTTTAAATTCGGACCGTAGAATCAAATTTAAAAAATAAAAAATAAAAAAATCTAGTAGTTGGATCTGCAACGGTCAAAAGCTTTTAACGACCCAGATTAGCGGGTTGCCAACGGTCCAATACCAGGCCACGACCCGGCTTGACCCAGTCAACAAATTAAAAAAACAAAAATATGGCGGGTCGTCTCGAGGGCCGGCTGGGACCCGGCCCACCTGGTGCAAATTTTTTACACATGAGACCAGAATTGTCCCGGTCAAACTACGGGCTCAGTTCTGGGCCGGTTGACCACGGGCCAATTTGATCGATTCGGGTCGAACTGGCGGGCGGGGCCAACCCAACGTCATGACTAGTATTATGAACCCGTAAGACATAAACACGAACGTGCATACAAAAACATCTACTTTGATTCGATAAAAAGTGAGGTTCATTTTATTAATTGTTTAAGTGAGGTTCATTCACAACTATCATAATTATTAATAGATTAATAAGATATTAATTCTATTTCATAACTAAATCTTGACCATTGGATCTCAGCGGTCAAAACATTCTAACAGTCATATTTGAAATTTGATCGTGGGTTAACTGTTGTGGAACCGGCGGGCTGGGTCGAAACTGAACCCAGACCCGGACCGTGGAACCGAATTTAGAAAAAAATAAATAAAAAAATCTTATTGTTCGATCTCCAACAATCAGATTTAATTTGACTTGATCCAACAGTCAGATTTAAAAATTTGACCATTGTGGAATCGACGAGCCAGGTAGAAACCGAACCTAGACTCGGACCGTGGAATCGAATTTAAAAAATAAAAAAGCTAGCACTTGGATCTCCAACAGTCAAAAGCTTTCAACAATCCAGATTAGCGGGTTGCCAACGGTCCAATACCAGGCTACAGGTCGGCTTGACTCAGTCAACAGATTAAAAAAAAAAAAAGAAAAATATGGCGGGTCGTCTCAAGGACCAGCCTATACCCGACACACTAAGTCAAAAAATTTTATACACGAGGCCCAAAACCGACCTAGTAAAACTACGAGCTCAGTTCTGAACCTGTTGACCATGGGGCGATTCAGGTCGAACTCGCGGACCTGGCCGGGCCGGCCCATAGCCATGACTAATACTCTAAACACGTAAGATGTAAACATATATGCATTCAATACATCTACTTTGATTCACTAAAAAATATGCACATATACTTTGATTCACTACAAAATAAGGTAATTTCTATTTGACTGATAGTCTAAGTGAGATCAATTCACAACTATGAGAATTATTTGTAAACTAATAAAAAATTACGATTCTATTAAAAAAATATTTTGCATTATTAAATATGATTACGATTTTATTATTAAAATTATATTAAAAATAAGTATATATTATAAAATAACAATTCTATATCCTTTTAATGGTTTGTTGCATAGGTTGATGTTAGGTTGATAATTGTAAGATATGTAGGAAAGTAGTTTGGGTAATATGTGGAAAAAATCAAATTATTGAGGAAGCTTTCACGTTGGACGTTTTTAGGTACATTAAGCTTTTCTTAAACAAGTTTGTTGTTGTCCTAAGCACGTTTTTTTGGATTCAAAGATTAACAATTAGAAGTTTCATAGGGACTTAAGCTTACTTCTGGGACGTTTATTTGACTTCCAAGCTTAGCTCTAGGACGTTTGTTTCACAATTGAGCTTCTATGTTGGACGTTTTATTGGCTACCAAGCATATCTTCTGGACGTTTGCTTTCAGAGGCAAGTTTCAATGAAAAACGTTTGGTATGCTTTAAAACTTAAATCTTGAACGTTTTACATGGCCTCAAACTTTCCAGTTAGATGTTTACTTGACTTCCAAGCTTAGCTCTTGAACGTTTGTTTTCACAGTGGAGCTTTCATGTTGGACGTTTGTCTGGCTTCCAAGCTTAGCTTCTGGACGTTTGCTTTCATAGGTACGCTTTGATAAAGAACGTTGGTATGCTTTAAAACTTAACTATTGGACGTTTCACATGGCCTCAAGTTTTCTAGTTAGACGTTTAGCAGCAGAATAAGCTTTCAATTTAAAAGTTTTAAATGTGTTGCCCATTCTCATTTAGATGTTTCTCTTTAGAGTCGGGGTTGGCATTTGAACATTTCCTTTGCTTCCAAGCTTAGCTATTGAACGTTTGTTTTCACGGTCGAGTTTCTTTACTAGACGTTTCTTTAGCTGTCAAGCTTAGCTGTTAGACTTTTATTTGGTTTCCGAGTTTAGTTCATAGACGTTTGAATGTAATTTTTTTCAATAACTATTTTTTACTACAAAAATATTTTTGTAAATTTATTATTTTTTATTATTTTTTTCGGACGAAAAATAATAATTTGGGGTGACAATCAATCGGGTTTTTATTATTCTATAGTTTTGGACTCCCAACCTCCCATATTACGGGCGGCCTTTTGAGCCACAACGCCATATCCAGAAACCCTAAACCATCAGTACAGTAAGTGACGATGGGGAAAGGGAAGAATGCGAAGACCGGAGATGAAAGCCATCACTCCCCGTCGACCGTCTTTGTTGCTAATCTGCCTTTTTCCTTCACGAATACTCAGGCATGTTCCTATTTTTCGGTGTGTGTTATTGTGCGTACGTGATTACATACTCGAGTGAGTAAATCTGCATATTTTAGCTCAGTCATGGTTGTTTGTGTATCATATAAATATCTATATATTTTTTGTTTATTTTAATTGGGGTTAAGTGCAAATGCTCTATGAACATTTCAGATGGAAGAGGCTTTCAGCGAGATTGGACCCATAAGAAGGTGTTTTATGGTTACAAAGAAGGGTATGATTACATAACCTGTTTTTATGGAAATGTCATAATCGTGTTTTCCCATGGTGGGTTTTCGTTTAAATCATGTTGTAAGCGAGTTTATGTTTTTGCTATTTTTCATATGTTAGGTTCCACCGAACACCGAGGCTTTGGTTATGTTCAATTGTAAGTGTATCTTCCGTTGCTGCTAGCACCATATGTATTTTGCAAACAACGATATCCCTAATGCTGGATTTCAAACATGAATGTAGTGCCTCTATTACGGATGCTAATCGTGCCATTGAGCTGAAAAATGGCTCTGTTATTGGAGGTAGAAAGGTTGTTGTGAAACAAGCCATGCATCGTGCTCCACTTGAACAGCGCCGAGCAAAAGGAAATCAAGGTCTGTGAGTGTCATTTTATTACACCCTGTGCGTATGAGTACCCCCTGCAATATTCATGAAAATAAGTTACTGCGCGGTCGAAGTTACTCTATGCATTTCATTTAGGCTTCTTCCTGTTACTTGCTAAGTTTTGGATAGTTATTATTTGGTGGTCCAATTCTTAGAAGCTGGCCTGACGGAGAATGAGAAGGCTGTCAAACCTGAAGTAACTGACAGAGTCCACAAGGCTCCAAATTCTCAGGCGAAAGGTTATAACTTCTAGATGACTGAACTATTCATGCTCTTACATTTGATTTTCGGGCGTATCTTTATTATGATAAATTGGAAAATTAAATAGGTGAAGTAGTGGAAAAGAGAAATGGAATGGCTATTTCCAATGATGGTGTTACAGATAAACAAAGGTAATTATTTTGGTTGTCATATCTGTCAATGTTCTAATTAATTTGCCAAACCATGTTGGTTGCGGATATTTTTTACCATATTTATGTGTCCAGTATTATGATGAGAGTTGGCCATTACGAATTCCAGATACTTTATTTCTCCCACTTGCTAATCTGTTTTTAGCATGATATGTTGTTTTAGATTAAATATGGCACATCAAGAAACCTGAAGTTTTTGTTAGAGTAGGCTGTGCCTATTTTGATGCTGTCAGCCTATGTTCATCACAAACTATTGCAAATACATTCGACTTACTTCTTAATCAATGTAAATTGCGCTTATGCTTCCACGGAACACTTTTGTTCATAATTGTGAAGTTTATTCTTTATGTGCACATTTGTTCCTCTTTCTACTATTCGATTTGTGGCTTAAGAGTTGTGAAAGTCTGGGTCAAGTGCTTGGTATAGGGAACTAATAATCTTTATGTTTTAGAAATTTTACTTTAGTTTGAATAGTCAGCTTGAGTGACTTTCTGCGCACAGTGCTATTTAACTATTCGAATTTTAACTCTCGTCTAATATTTTCCTCTTAGAATATGGAGAAGCTAAAAATTATGTAGTATAGTTTGAACACATACTTATAATGATGGAATACCGAGTACTTCATATGGTGGCATACCTTAATTGGTTTAATCTTGATTAGGGGCATTCTATTGAAGTTCAGATTTATGATCAGTGAATAAGTCCACATTAGATGTATTGGGGTGCAGGACTGCTCATAACTAAGGAATATCTTGCAGCTGATAATGGTTAGATTCTGTTTCTTCAGGAATTGGGATTTATGAAATACCAAGTTTCAATGTATTATAGGACGCTGTGCTTTCTTACTCTGGCCATTATGTTATTTGACATCTGATAATGAGGTGTTTTGGAATGTTGATGAATTATGCTCCCATAAGATTTCCATTGTATTGTGTATTTGTTTTATAGCTAGTTCTGACATAACTTATTTATTATTTAACAGGGTTGCTAAGACAGTCGTATTTGGCGGTCTTCTTAGTGTTGATATGGCAGAGGAAGTTCATGGTCTCGCTAGGAAGTTTGGTTCTGTATACTCTGTCACTTACCCTCTTCCAGAGGAAGACTTGAAACATCACGGTAAAAATTTGGACAATTTCATCTGTAATCTCACTATCGTCAAAGAAAAATGTGATTGATTGAAGATCTCTGTTTTTCTCTTTGTTCTTCCTTCTTTAACCAAAGTATTTTAAATCTTAGAGCTTCAGTTGGTGATGATAATATAATTCTAAGAAGTAGCGTTAGTATAAGGCTACTTTATGCTTGAGATTCAATTTTTTATGCATAAATTTTATGGCTAATATGCCATTATGCATTGGATAGATATCTGAGTTCATGGAGTTACATTGTTAATATTTTTTCTGCCTGGTAGTTATTTCTGGGGCATGTGTAATGCGTAGTGTACTCATCCATTTGCATTGCACCCAGATAACCATTTTAGACATCTTCAGATCTCTCCCGCTCCACACCATTTTTCTTTTCCACATCTTTTCCATTAATTAATTTTAAACCAATTTTTTTTAGTATGAAAGCCATAGTAGGAGTTCATTCTGCTTCTTTCTTAATATGCTCTTGAAGATTTGATTCTTTTACATGGTATATGTGCTTTGATTTGTTGATTTTTGTTTTTAATTGTTTTGTTTGTTTGTTTTTTCCCAGGGCTAGCTCAAGATGGTTGCACAATGGATGCTTCTTACGTACTATTTACAAGTGTAAAATCAGCCCGTGAATGTGTTGCAGCCCTACACCAGAAAGAGATACATGGGGGAACTGTTTGGGCACGACAGCTTGGTGGAGAGGTGATATATACTTTTCTTATCCCATAGCTTTTTCATGCATAAGTACAACGTCATTACTGTAGCTCCAAATTTTTTAAATATTTTAATTTTTAATTTATATTTATTTCTTTCGTCAAATGTATTTACCAGGGCTCTAAAACTCAGAAGTGGAAGCTTATAGTGAGAAATCTTCCATTCAAGGTTTGTTTTCCTTCATTCTGAGTTGCAAAATTTCTAATTTTGATGATTTCCATGACTATTATAGTACGCGGGCTTTATTTTCTGTAAGTGAAAGTTTTTGTGGTTTTGTTTTAGCATGCTTTGTGCTTGTGTCTCACACACGGGACTGTTGAATACAGGTAAAAGTGGCTGAGATAAAAGATATGTTTTCTTCCATAGGGCTTGTTTGGGATGTGGTCATACCTAAAAATCCTGAGACTGGGTAATTCCTTTGAATTTGTCATCAATAACTTAATACCTCGTGTACTGCTAGACTGATTTCTTCCGTCGTCTTTGTCTCTGCAGGTTGCCGAAAGGATTTGCATTCGTCAAATTCACATCAAAGCAAGACACAGAAAACGTAAGTTGGTTGTCTCTATAATAATCATTCACTGGTGACATTGTTTTATCCTCAATTTTTTTCTTGTTGTAGGCTATTAAGAAATTCAATGGAAAAACTTTTGGCAAAAGACCGATTGCTGTTGATTGGGCTGTACCAAAGAAGATTTATACAGTTGGAAGTGGTTCTGTTGCTGCTACAGGAAATGGTATTTTGCCACCTTTTTCCTCTCTAAATCGTTTTGCATGACAATTTTTATTATTATTATTATTTTTTTTCATGAATTGCATATTTCAAACGATGTTATTCTGTGGTTAATACCATAATCAGGAGAGTTTGATACCTTTTGGATTTTATCTTGTGTTGTCATAGCCCTTGATGACTAAATTTCACTCTAATTGATTTGTGGTTTTATAGAATTGAAACAAGATGATAGAAGCAGTATTGGATCAGAGGACAGTGATGAAGAACCAATTGGGAAATCACAAGTGGTTGGTAGTGATGACAGTGCCGATGAGTCAGATTCATCAGAGAATGATAGAAAAAGTGAAGTTGATTTTGAGGAAGAGGCAGAGATGGCTAGAAATGTGCTCAACAACCTCATGTCACGGTCTTTCCAAGATGTTTCTGAAAGCAATGTCTCAGAACCAGCTGAGGGTAAAACTGATGATTTATCTGTACTGGATAGAAAACAGTCATATGAGGCAAAAAATACTAAGTCCACTCAAGATGAAGAAGACGAGTTGCAGAGGACAATTTTCATCAGCAATCTTCCTTTCGAAATCACGGCTGAGGAAGTGAAACAACGCTTTTCTTCATTTGGTGAAGTGCAGTCCTTTGTGCCAGTTCTTCATCAAGTAACAAAGTATGTGTTTTTGCTTTTATTATAATTTATGGATAATTATTCATTAAACAAGAAAGCGTGAAGTTCAGAGTAACTATGGCTATGTTTGGTAGTCAAATAAACTAGCTTATAGCTTATTCGGTTAGCTTATAAGCTTCCTGTATTCAAATAAGTCTTTTTTGGTAGGACGAGCTTTTTTAAAAAACTCGAGCTTATCTCATAAGCTTTTTTAGGTAGCTTTTCAAATAAGCTATTTGAATTTTTTATTTCAGCTAGCTTATCAGCTAATTTTATCAAACACTTTTATCATATAAGCTACATTTTTAGGTATAAGTCATAAGCTATAAGCTCAAAAACACAAATAAGCTATAAGTTAGCTTATCAGCTATCAACTAGCTAATAAGCTAGTTGTACCAAACATAGCCTATAAATAAATAAATACCGAGGTTTTCCAAAATTCCAAAGGAATAAAAGAACTGTGATCAGATGTTCACTCTCAAAAAGCACTCTATTTCAACCACACATAATATTTGTAGAAATACCATAGTTGCTCTCTTAAATTGACGGCAATCAACCTTCCAACGTTCAAAACATCTACGATCTTTTGTAATCAGTGGTCCCGTTGAGAATTTCTTTCAACTGTTCATTTTTTTTACCCTAAAGATCCACTTAACATGCTTTAGACATTGTTACAATGTGGCATCTTTTCTATTTTTCTTCAGACGTCCCCGTGGAACTGGATTCCTCAAGTTCAAAACAATGGATGCAGTCAATGCTGCACGTTCAGCATCCAACACAGAAGGTGGTGTAGGCATCTTAATAAAAGGGAGACCTGTGAAAGTACTAAAGGCACTGGACAAGAAAACAGCTCATGATAAGTCGGAAGAGAAGGCTAAGAAAGAGGATCATGACCACCGCAATCTGTACCTGGCTAAGGTTGTCCTCATTTTCAGTCAGCTTTCTCGCTAACTGTCATCAACTCGAAATGGACCCAATTTAAGGAAATATATTTTAGATAATCTAATTTAATTGTTGGTTGTGTGTTAACAGGAGGGTCTTATCATGGAAGGGATGCCAGCTGCCGAAGGAGTTTCAGCTAGCGATATGGCAAAACGCAAGAAGTAAGTTTCAAGCTTCGTGCCTAAATATGAAAAAATGAAATATTTTAAGGCAGTGTTATCAAATGGACCCCTCAGTAGTTTGGTTGAATGATTTCTATTTAAGCCTATAACAGTTTGCTGCTGTTATTTGTAGGTTGCATGAAGATAAGAATGCTAAGCTTCAGTCTCCAAACTTCCGTGTATCAAGGACGAGGCTCATTGTGTACAATGTGCCAAAGAATATGAACGAAAAAGATCTTAGACAACTCTTCTTAAATGCAGTCGTCTCTCGAGCAACAAAGCAAAAACCCTCAATTCGGCAGGTTGAATGTGGTTCTTATAGAAATTGGGTTTCTGGTGCTAAATATGCTTATTAGAAATGCTACGTGTTATGTTTATTACTTTATTAACAGTAACCTGTTT